ACCACACGCCGAATCCTCATCGTTCGCAGGACTCCCCAACCCAACAATTCAGCCTAACTGTTTTTGCCAAAAAACCTAAGTGTCTATGCTGTAGTACTGGGCTCGCTGTGGCCGAGTGGCAAAGGCGATGGAATGGGGAGTCATTGAGGTCCTCCCACGCAGGTTCGAATCCTGCCCACAGCACTTAGAATTATTTTCTCACATTTGCTTGGAGCACCAGGCCTGTGATGGGCTCTATTTCAAGCCGTACTTCAGGGCTTTTTTCGGGGTTAAAACCTCCGAGGACCCCCCCTGGGTCTCAGGCTTTCCAGTGCTAGCATTTATGTCCGGATTTCTAAGCTTTTTTCGGGGATAGAACCTCCACAGAATCCCCTCGGTTCTGGACCACACCCCCGCATGCCCTATTTTAAGCCGGATTTAAGGGCTTTTTTTCGGGGTTAAAACCTCCGAGGACCCCCCTGGGTCTCAGGCTTTCCAGTGCTGCATTTATGCATTTATGTCCGGATTTCTAAGCTTTTTTCGGGGATAGAACCTCCACAGAATCCCCTCGGTTCTGGGACCCGCATGGCCCTATTTTAAGCCGGATTTAAGGGCTTTTTTCGGGGTTAAAACCTCCGAGGACCCCCTGGGTCTCAGGCTTTCCAGTGCTGCATTTATGTCCGGATTTCTAAGCTTTTTTCGGGGATAGAACCTCCACAGAATCCCCTCGGTTCTGGGACCCGCATGGCCCTATTTTAAGCCGGATTTAAGGGCTTTTTTCGGGGTTAAAAACCTCCGAGGACCCCCCTGGGTCTCAGGCTTTCCAGTGCTGCATTTATGTCCGGATTTCTAAGCTTTTTTTCGGGGATAGAACCTCCACAGAATCCCCTCGGTTCTGGGACCCGCAAGGCCCTATTTTAAGCCGGATTTAAGGGCTTTTTTCGGGGTTAAAACCTCCGAGGACCCCCCTGGGTCTCAGGCTTTCCAGTGCTGCATTTATGTCCGGATTTCTAAGCTTTTTTCGGGGATAGAACCTCCACAGAATCCCCCCGGTTCTGGGACCCGCCCCGCATGGCCCTATTTTAAGCCGGATTTAAGGGCTTTTTTCGGGGTTAAAACCTCCAGGGACTCCCCTTGGTTCTGGGACCTGTCATTGCTCTTTTTCAAGACAAATTTCATGCGCTCTCTCCCGGGGAGAAATGCGCCCACCCTTATTCTTTGAGAATATGTGTGCACTTGTTTTCAACTCCCTGGTGGGTTCCATAACCTGAGATTCCACTCACGTCATGGGGACTGGTTTTACGTGGTGGGGCCCGAACACCGGACCCCACTGGTCCAAGCTTAATAATCAATGGGTAATGCTTTTTCTAACGGTCCTTATGCAGTCTCTGTAAAAATATGGAAAGGACCCCTGGAGGTTTACTTTCCTGAAAAAAGTGTGTTATGTGTCGGAACCCTGGTGGTGGGTTGCGGGATATCAAGGAGGGGCACCACTGGGGCAATTTCAGTCCAGCAGGCTGGAGCCAATCATGGAGCAGCACAACAGAGGAAATCAGGTGTCAGGCTAGAAAAAGGTGCAAGTGTGTGGTTCATTAGGCTGCAAGAAATCATGGAGGAGCACACTGAAGCGCACGCTTACAAACCACTGGTAAGTGCTGACTACAAGTCATGACTTCAAATTGTTATATAGAATGATTACAAATTATTTGTTGTTTGTGCAGCTTAGTCAAGAGTCCCTAATTGATGAAGTCGACTCAGATTCTGACGATTTAACTGTCAAGAAGAAACCTGTAAAAAAGTATGGAAAAAGAAAAATCAAAAACACTTTTCTTCAAGACTCGGAAAGTGACGAACCAAAGGCAAATAAGATTGTTATCATGCAGCTGCAAAAGAAGAAAAATGGGGGGCGAGTATACAGCAAGAGACACTTCTGCCTCTACTGTTCAATGTCCTGCCACAAAATGTCCCGTCATTTGACTAGAAAACATGGAAATGAAAGTGACGTAGCGCCAGAGCATCTGACAATCTAAAGCACGTAAACTTCAGTTTGATTTGATCAGGAATAGTGGAAACCGTGAGCACAATTTTGAGGTTTTAAAGGCCGGCATTGGAACTTTAGTCCCAGCTAAAAACAGTCCAAATTCCCCAGACTCGGAGAGCACCTGTGAGCACCTGTACTTAAAACACGGGCATGATAAGACTAAGCATGATTACATTAGGCAGAAAATGAGAGAAGTCGGTAGGTTAATTAACGAAGCAAAAACCGCAGGGAAACTGAAAACAATTAAGGATTTCTTTATTCCTTCCAACTTTAACCATGTGATTGATGCAGTCAGGTCTGTGGCTGGATATGATGAGGAAACAAATCAATACAAGACTCCATCCTTGGCCCTCAAACTCGGCCATAGCCTCAGAAAGCTAGCAGATATTCTTGAATGTGACTCAAAAATGGAGCATTGTGTTGATGAACTATTTATTAAAAACCTCCAACGAAGCCGGCTGCTTTTTGAGAAGAGGTGGGACGTCTGTGTTTCTTCTGCTGCCCTACAGACCCTCCGGCAAGCCAAGTGGAACACTCCGGACCTGCTCCCTCTGACTGAGGACGTTAGAGCCATGCATGCACATATTGAGGTATGTCGACCTGAATATGTGCAAACCCTAATAAGTGAGCCAACGTCTAAGCATTGGTCTAAACTGGCAGTTTTGACTCTTTGTGAGGTCATCATTTTCAATCGAAGAAGGGAAGGTGAGGTTTCAAAGATGCCACTGACAGCCTTTACCTTAAGAAGTAAGACTGGGATCCATTCTGACATTGCTCTGGGACTGTCCCAACTTGAGAAAAAGCTGTGTCAGCATTTTCAACGCATTGAAATTAAAGGGAAAAGAAGTCGGAAAGTGCCGGTTCTTTTGACTCCTGAAATGATTGCTTCGATGGAGGTGCTGGTGGAGAACAGAAGGGCCTGTTCCATCTCTGACCATAACCCATACTTCTTTTCCCGCCCGGGCGCAGACACCCACATCAGGGGATCAGACTCCCTACGCCAGGTAGCCAAAGAATGTGGTGCGGTGCATCCAGAGATGCTATCCTCAACCAAACTTAGAAAGCACATAGCTACTATGTCTACAGTTCTCAATATGAAAGAGAATGAGATGGACATACTTGCCAACTTCCTCGGCCATGACATTCGCATCCACAGGCAATATTACAGACTACCAGAGGGGACACTGGAGCTGGCCAAAATCAGCAAAGTGTTGATGGCCATGGAGCAGGGAAGAGTGACGGAATTCGAAGGAAAGAGCCTCGACCAGATACAAATTGAGCCTGAAGGTAATTCTTGATATTATTAAAATATGTATGATTTTTTTCCCCTAAAGGCCACTTGTATTTTTATTTTCTGTGCGACAGGGAGAGCAGTAGAGATCCTCTCACAAACGGACGGGCTAAAAGAAACTTCAAGCGGAGAACCTTCAACCATTCATCCAGATGCACCCCATGGTAGTGGCAGTGCCCCTTCTGGTAAGTGTACCAGGTGGGGGATTACAGCCAGGCTGCTTGGTCCTAACCCTGGGAGTGTATATTGCTAATATATTTTTATTTCTCTCCCTAGAACGTGTAAGAAAGCCATGGTCTGCATCTGAGGTGAAGGCTGTGGAGAAGACCATGACACCTTTCATACAGACTGGAAAGGTCCCTGGGAAGTCTCACTGCCTGGCCTGCATTAATGCCTCACCAGATGACCTTAGACATCGGACATGGAGTGGCATTAAATTCTATGTCAAAAATAGAATCACTGCAATTCGAAAACAAAATCTAAAATAAAATTCCTTTAAAATAGTTGTTTGGTTTCTATTGACTGTTTTGTATTACTTAAAGTAGTCCCAGTAAAAAAAGATTATGTCTATGGGTCCCATTCTGAACGGCCCTGTCAAAGGGACCCACCAGGTAACAAAAACGTGTATGTGTGTGTGTGTGTGTGTGTGTATGGTATCTGCAAAATAAACAGAAAAAGACTAAATTACAAAGTGCTCATCTCCATACAAACACAATATAACAGGGCTATAAGAACATAAAGATATGAAAATAATAGGCACTTTATCAACAATCTGGCACATACACATTCCACATGGCACAGAACAGCTATAGATTTGCACCCTGCAGCTACACAGGCAACGTGGCCACCATGGATCTATAATAATAACGGGGTGGCCACACTTACAAATATATATATATATATATATATATATATATATATATATTATATATATATATATATTAATATATATTAATATAATATATATATATATATATATAAATAATTAATATATATATATATATATATATATATATATAATAAATAATATATATATATATATATAAGGCTCTTGAATTAATTCAAACACAAGTTTACAACCATCAGTTCTTATCATGAACGCACACTTTGGACCACAACACTTTGTAGAAAGAAAAGGGTGTTTTCGCTCTCGTCACCGTGTCTCAGGTAACAGGTAGGGGCGCCCTCTAATGGACATTCATGGAACAACAGGGAAACAAACAACAAACAATGAAACCGAGGGACCTTTTGTACAACTTTTAGGATTCTTTCAAAATGTCGTCTGAACTAAACCTACATTTAACTTTTATTTTATTACTAAAAACCAGCTGAGCACCATTCTAAATAACTAAAAGCAGAAAAACACGTGAAGAATGAGTCCAAACATCTGTTATTGTGTTTAGGTTTTTATTGAAAAGAGTGAAGTTTGAGTGATTTTTCCCTGAATTAGAACTATAGCCTTTTGTGACTAAATGTTTGAAGGAAGAACTGTGAAAAAGCCAACAGAAAATCACAAAACAATTCAACAAAAAACACAAAAAACAAAACGAACTCATTCAAACCGTGAGATTTACCTTTTAGAACAGTCGCAGAATCTGTTTGGAATTTGTTTAAACCACAATCTTCATAGACACATGTTTCCTTAGTCTGGTAAACAGGGGATGAGCTGTCGAGAGTCCCAGTTTGAAAACATTATTACATAATATTCCACTTATTACTGTTTGGAATAAACAAGTAAATATATAAGAGTTTAGAAGTTCCCTGATGAACCGGTCTTGTGTATAAAATGGTAAAAACAGGAAGTATATCAATAAAATACTCCTATTTTTTTTATTAAAGGAACAATATAACAATAAGGAACTTGTTCTCTAGTTTGGTAGATTTTAAACCTCAATTTGTCGGTTCAAAATGGGGAAAATACTGGGACGACCGGTTCAACCAATCAAGAGACAGCCCGGGATGAGAACCATGTGGAAACAGCGGACTGTTTGTCACTTCTCTAAACACTTTTAAACTCTTAATATTTGCATTTTCAAAAGGAGCAGGTGGGAAAGCATGCTTCGTACTTGTTTAGCAAATTAGTGGAGTAACATAATTTTGGACAAACTTGATTTAACTGAATTTTTTTTTTTTTTCAAACAATATTGACTGGCCATGATCAAAACATTAGTGACATCAGAAATTCACAAATACACAAGTTATGCCCATTATAAAGAGATAAACGCACAGGCCGATTCATGAGGTACACTTGTAATATTAGAGTTAGCCTCGTTTTTACATAATTTCCAACTATTTTTTACAAACTGAGGTCAGAAAAAGCAAAACTCAATCATCTGTTGACAGCAGTTTTGAAAGAGTCTAAAATCCTCTGAAAGAAATAGACGGGAAACAGTTTAAGGATGTGCCATAGATCGTAATGCAGTCTATGAGATACACACCTGTTCCTACTGTAAAAATAATAGCCAGATTTTTAAAAGATATTTGTAACATGAAAAACTCATTTTAAAAGATATTCAGTCCATGGCAAATTGTAACAGTCAGATCCATGGACCAAACAACCAAATATTCTAAAATTAAAGCTGAAAAATGCAGTGGGCAAAGATTCTGATGGGCTACATTGCTTGTTGCTACGGAGATGTTTTATTATTAATGTATCACAATATGACTTTATTCAACATGTTTGTACTGATGAAAAACATGAATTCTTGACCTCGAGTGAAGTTACTTTCCTCGTCTCAATCTAGATTCCGGGGCGATTCCGATTCTAGGGGCGTCGAACAGACCCTCTGCAGGATTTCAATCCAGCCGAGCAGGAGCACACCTGACTTCACCCACTCCCTCAAGCGAGTCCAGGCTGAGCTGCCGCGCTCCTGCTTGGTTGGAAGGAAAACCTGCAGCCACACCGGCCCTATGAGGAGCATAAACTATGTCCATAAGCCATCGCCTCAACCAGGATAGTTGCCCAAAACAAATGCAGCTTTAAAATTATTCCAATTATCCAAAATTAAAAAAAACTAAAATCTGCCAATGGACTTGGACCAAAGCAGCTCTCAGCCTTAGAGCTTTTCAAATCCTTTTAACAACAGTTTTAGAAGACCTTTTCGTTCCTCCGACTTAAAGAAAACACTAATCACAAGTGTACCCGATAGAATGTCCTTTCTTCTTGCCCCGGCGGCCGCCACGGTCACATCCAGCCGGCGGCGGTCCGACCGGCTTATCCTCGCACACCTACTCACTACACACGTTTTTTTTACACTTGTGCATTTAAAAACATCACAGTTTCTCATTATTACAACTCGACCCCGACAAAGGTAAACAGAAAACATAACTTAAATTAGGTCAGATATATATTGAGAAGGTCCTAAAGTTACACACAGAATATACGGGTTAGTCCTTAGGGTCCAAACAGCCCTTTTACGAGTCCTACGCCTTTGTGGTCACGACTCCACCCACTTTTACTGACACATTGTGATTCATTGACTTCTACGGTGTTCAAATATACATGCAGGTTACTTACGACACAAAGACAATACCAAGATAAAATGATAACAACGGATGATAAATGTGACAACTTCAGTGGAAGCAGAAATCTTACCATTTCTTTGCGTCACTCCCACAGAATTAACCTCCAGTATTTGTTTAGAGGAGGACAAATGACAAAAAAAATTTACTTTTGCTTTTTGACCATGTTCTAATGTGTATTCCAAGGCTGCTGCGACAAAATGAATAAAAACGTACCAATAAATGATTCCATAAATGTTTTTGTCCCAAGTCATTGCTTTCACATTTTATAATGGTAGAAAATAATGAATCAAATTGAGTTTCATTAAGTAACTAGCAGAACTATTGATCACAAATGATATTAACAACTTTTCAAATCATTTAGACACAAAATGCGCAAAACTAGTAGAGTCAGGCTAGTGTGGCACATCTTTGATAAAAAAAACCTAAAATACATGAACAAATGTAGGGACATCAGCTTCAATATTTTAACCACAAGCAGCCAATATTTGTCAGCTAGTTAGCTAGTTAGTGGTGGAAATATTGCTAACGTTAAAAACATAAAGTACAGTTACACTGGAGATTCTCACTCTTCCAGCGATGAAAGGTTTTGTCTAAAAATAATCACTAAACAGAGCTTTACGCTGCTTTCTTCAAAACGATAAGAATCAAATTGAATCAGTCTGAACGTTGGCGTTTGACCAAATCTATTTACAACTGTGAGTAAAGCGGTGTAATAGGGAACGCAGTTAAAACACGGTTAAAAGCTCAAAAAGTCGAGTTTTCCTCTAAGTCAGTGTTTCTATGATAAACATTGGGTAAAAGTTGAGTAAACGTGGGCGGAAGTTAGTGACACAAAGGGCTCTGTGACTGGAGGGGTTCTCGCTTCACACAGAGGGAAACAGATTTCAAAAACACCTCAAAACGACTTAAAATTGTATGAATAAAATGGGGATTACGGGAACAAGATATGGACAAAGTAAAAGTTAACGCGGACGTCCTCTGGCTGCAAACGCCTTCGGACGCAGAGCCACAGAGAGACCCCAGGTCACATGTTCTCACCACTTCACACGTCAAGCTTGGATTTTCTACGATCGAAAACTTACTTGTGTTTGTGTTCCATTGTCAATTTTTTTTACAATAGCACTGAGACTACGGATTAGAAAGGTTCAATTAGTCCAAGATTAGTTCTGTTGTGCATTGGGACCAGTTTAGATCCAACATTTAAATCATCGGCTTGAGGAGAGAGAATGCCGGTGTATCCAATTGATTATTATTTTTTGGACGTCAATAATAATTTGACAAGTGATAATGTTAGAAAGTTACCAACATAACTACGGTTCTACGAATCTAACACAAGTCACAAAATGTATAAAACGTGTGGTTCTTAAACAAGATTCACCTTCAGAACATGAACAAATACCTGCTATTGAGCTTGAAACATGAATATTTTGTCCGCCCATCTGGAAAACCTGTTTTAAGACCATAAATAAAGACTGCATGGTTTAAGCATAGACCGTCTCACATCGGTCATGATCGGCACGTGTTAAATCAAAAATAATGATATGAAACTATTACTATGTTAAAACTATTCATGATTATTTGATTTTGATTTAAGGGATGACTGTAGTAGCCCCAAGACACAACAGAAACACAGCTTTGACCAGTCGTACAATATTAGGACTGCCTACATAAACAAAAAAACACTGACATCCATTTTGAGCCTGGAGAATCCAATATCACCATTGCAGGTAAATATTACTAGCTTTAGCAATTTGCAAAAGCAGACAAGTGGCATTTGAAGAATATGTGGCAGGCTTACAGTATTCTCAAGATAAAAAAAAAAAAAAAAGGCCAGATATAATTCAGTGAAATCAACAGAAAGTTTCACGCCTTTTTGTGCGAATACTTTCAAATGTCCGGTATTTTAATCAATTTTCCAAACTGAGTAATCTGGTTCTGTGAATGAACATTTCCATGAGATTTTTTTTTACTTGCGTTTATCTTTGAGGGTTTTCTAGTTATTTTCCCATCTTAGGCAGCCTTTTTCAGTACAATAACTGGCATAATCTTTTTTTTTTTTACCCAATACCAACCCATTTTTGATACAATATTTTGCCTGAACTTATGGTAAATCCTAAAACCAAGCTCGCCGTGTGCCCTGGGGCCTCGTCATCTCTGTGGGCGCCTCTCTCTTTGCGTCTCACAAGTACGGATACTGTGGCATGCGGCGCGGGCTGAGCTGGAAGGCCGTGTACGCGTCGCTCATGTAGGAAGCGGCAGCGGGGAACTGCGGCGCGTAGGCGGGCAGCGCGTGGTGCAGCAGCCCGCCCACGGCCTCCTTCCTCGGGGCGGCAGAGTCTCTCCGGGAGCTGGGGGCGGAGGACGACAGCAGGTGGTCCAGGGCCTGCGAGGCTGAGGACAGGGCGCTGGAGGCCGGGTAGGAGTAGAGAGAGGCCCCCGAGGAGGTGGAGGTGAGAGCGGAGACGTCGGGAAAGAAGTGTGAGGAGGCGAAGGAGCGCAGGACCGAGGAGTCGTCCTGAGAGGAGGACACGGACTGGGCCTGGGCAAAGGAGACGGGAACATGTAGGCAAAATATACGACAACAGTTTTAAAACTTTGGATACTGTTCTAAGTAATAAAACGCTGAGGTACCCAACTTTCTAAATTGAAATTAATATTATAAAACTGTCCAATCCTGCTTCACCCAGCAGCTACACCACCACCACCACCACCAGCCCTGCTGCTGCTGTGACCTTCAGTACTGTGCAATGCTATTTTTTTTTACTTTTAGAATGATAGATTTATTTTATTTGTATGGATCACAGGGATTTTTCTTACAGTGTGTACCAGCCAAATAACAAAAGCAAAAACAGTTCATCTCAATAGAAAGAGAACACATGTTAATTTTTGGATTTTTACGACATGGTTTGAAAATTAGGTACCCCAGCTTTAAGGCATCATTCATATTTGTTGCGCCCGTGCACTGACCTGGCTGAGGTTGAGAGGGTGGGACTGACTGGGCATCACACGGTGCCTCTCAGACTCGCTGCAGGACTGACGGCTCGAGCGCTTCGTCTTCACATTTACTGCAGAGAAACAGAAAAGATTGGTTACAAAATAAACAGGAGCAGTTTTGAAAAAAGACTTGCGTTTTTTTAAACACAAATATCTGCGACTGATTATTACTACTACTCCTTACTAATCTATGTGTGCAGTTTCAGTTCCTAGCGAAAATCATGGGACCACAACAGACTCACATGGTTACTATGGTAATGACAGCTGACTGATCAGACAGTTACAACACAGAGTTCTTCTGATATCAGCATGGATGAAACTAAAAACAGCTCCAGGCTGGAACAGTTGAGACATAGCTGTTTTTACATAGAATCAGATGCAACCTATCTTATCTTTTCTTCTCATTGATCTTTAGAATTAAATTTGACCAGAGAAAAGAGCTAGTTTATTATTATAAATACAAAGTTTTGCTTTGAAGTTTACACACCCAGGCAGAAAGTTATTATTGTTTACAACATTTTGGAGATTATGATTTTCCCAGATAAAGTGGTTGTGTAAAGCCATTTACTGTCAAATGTTGAAATTAAAATTGAAACCTCTCCTGTACTGACCCGGATCATAAGTCTCCACCCCCCAGTTCTCAGCATTTCCCCTTTAACATCTGCGACAGCGTGGAGTCGTTGTGGATGAGGCTCTTTCTGATGGTAAAGCTGCACATTCTTATCAGAAATACTCTAGTTCCTGTAAATTCCAGGGCTGTTTTGCATGAACTGTAAGTTTGAGATCTCCCTAGAGCGGCCTAATGATGTTATAATGTGAAAATAGAAAACATGTTTATATGACAGTGTATAGCTTCACACAAACACCAACAACGAGTGCACAGAGATCAAGCACAATTGTGTCTATGTGTACGTGTGCATGTTTATGTATGTAAATCTGTGTATGTCTATGCATGTATATTTCCTGTTGAAACTCACCGGTGTCCAGTCGCGGCCGGGTCACGGGGGTCTCTGTGCTCTGGGTCTTGACCGGCGCGAGCAGAGACAGGCCTTTGTGTCGGGAGGAGAGGGAGGGCAGGGGGGTCAGGGGGCTGGCGTTAGAGGAGTCCGAGTCCAGCAGCGTCACACAGCTGATCACGTTGGCCCTCTGGCTCAGGCTCACACTGGAGGAGACAAACTCAGGTTTAAACAAGCGAGTAATACGTGTGGGGGAATGTTCATTTTGGCATTCCACATTTGAGCCGGATGGAGGTCAGAGGGACTGGAATGTGAACGAGGCGAGACGTATTTTACACTTAAGACAATATTTGTATACACCTGTAAAATTGCAACACCACAGCCCGGATATGGAAGTTTAAGATTCTAAATAGGTTACATTTTTGTCATCCTTAAAACAGATATTCCAATAGGACTGAGAAATACATTTACTACTGCACTTTAAATATGACCTTTTTTGCTTGTCCCATTGGCAAAACCTATTATAAGATTTAGAAAGGCTGGAATAACAATTTTACTACCATATATTTTGTTTTTTGGGGCAAAGATAATAAAAAAAAAAAAAATAAAAAAAAAAAATAACAATTGTAAACCGCTTTGAGACTCCGATGTGCAGTGAGAAGGCGGTATATAAATGACTTACTTACTTACTTACTTACTTACATAAAATTTAGCCTAAAATAGCTTGAGGATTTGAAGTTGAAAACAGTGTTTCATAGCTAGCTCAGATCGGACAATATCACTCCCATATCAAAAATGGGAAAGAGACTTAGCACTTGCTCCTGATGCCAACTTCTGGCCTCACGTTTGTAATAATATCCATAACATGTCCAAAAATACAAATCTACAATTAATACAGTACAAGATAATACATAGAACTCATTTCACAGCACAGAAACTCTCAAAATTTACTTCAATCTCGGATACATGCACCAACTGCACACAAAATACAACAGACACCTACATTCACGCCATATGGTTCACCCGTTTTCCTTTTCTGGCGAGAGGTGACAGAATCACCCTCTGCCCTCTTGGACTGTCACATCCCACTCTGCCCATCCCTCGGCATTTTGGGAGATACATCATCACTAACACTCTAATCACACTCTAATCACACACTCTAAATAAATAGAAATTTGAAAAGGGAAAATACATAAACATATACACACATGGCAAGGGATTGAGGACACATGAGGAGAACACTCCCATCATGTGCTTTTTAATGCATCTTAGACACACACACACACACACACACACACACACACACACAATCATAGACAGCAGATAACAGGCAAAGAAGGCGGAGGCTGGAGTGTCTCTTAACTCATAAAATATAAATTAAAATCGGATTAAATAAGGTGGGTGTTGATGATCTAGACGATTGAATGTTTTTTTTTTTTCTTTCTCTCTAACGCGCACGCACACACACGCACACGCACCCCTACCTCCCATATGGTAATGTTTCATGCTGTCTTAATATTTGTATGTCTTTGTATGTACCCATGTTTTATCGCTGCTTTAATGTTTTTCTGTTGCTGTACCAATCACTTTGGTATGTCATTGTACCACTTTTGTATGTCTGTGTCACTTTTGTATGTCTTTGTATCATTTAAAGTGATAGTCTGTAACTCTAAATGAATTACAAATTTTAGGAAATGTGTTAAATTGACCTCCTGGCCTTAAATGTTGATATAAAATAAGTCATTTTATTAATTCTAATATTACGGGCAAGTCCCGCCTTCCCTTCTCTTAGCTATAGCTCAGAATCCACGGTGCCGTCGAGGTTAACCAATCGAGTCATGCCCAGGGCTGTCAATCATCGGCGCTGATGCTCGCAGCTGCGCGCATGCGCAGTTGTTTGTTTTCGCGGAGCCTCCGAATCAAGCCTCTATTAGGCTCTGGAACTACATGAAAACTGAACAAAGAATTCTGAACATCCGCGCTGAGGTACTTATGTATATACTGAACCTATATCCATAATCAGATCCTCTGCAGATGTGTCCTATAATGTGCAATTCATGATAATAGCACTTCCTGGTTTGCCACGATCGCTTTTTTTGTGCATAAAAACATTATTTTTTTCATTAAAACGTTCACAAATAATTCTAAAAACCTCCGTGCATGTGTATTAATAATGTATATGTATAATGTGTTCTCTGATTAACATTTCAGTGTTACGGAAACGTAGGTGTAGACCAATCAGAAAGGAAGGGGGAGGAGCTTGCGTCGTTTTTTTTCAAATCAAGTACCTCTCTGTCTCTCTGACAAACTCCAGACAATCACTTTTATAAAAAAATAAAAAATAAATAAAAATAAAACAGTTTTGATAGAAGGGTGCGACGGAAATCCTTGAGATAAACAGCTCCAGGTCTGTCTTTACCATTTTACAATTTGGTTCACTCTTTCAATTGTAATAAACACAGACACTTTCTCTGTTTCAACTGCTTTGTTATAACCGGTTCAGACTGGTTTAAATCTAGACCGAGTGTGGGTCTGACCTGGCCGGGTGGAACTTCCTCTCGTCCTCCGTGTCTGTGTCACTGTGGATGGTGATGATGCTAACGGCTGGACTGGGCGTGTCAGAGATGATGATTGGCTGAGACAGAGCAGAGGCGGGGCTTATGACGCTGGCGGCGAGCAGTGAGGAGGCCACAACGCTCCTGAGACAAAGAGGACACAGATCATGAGAGAACGTCGGGATTACCACATACAGTCTTTGGGCCGGCGTGGACAGAGCTAAACACTACGCCGAGTCTGATTTTGATGAAGAGCAAAGTTAAGTTGCCTCTGTTTACATACCGCCATGCGCGGACGCGCGCGAGGCTCAGCGCGCACTCGCAGAGCAAGTACTGTGTATGGAACGCTTATACCCGGACTCTCTGATTATTATCCTGGGGGATTTTAATAAGGGAAACTTGACCAGGAATTACCCAAATACAGACAGTTTATCAAATGCCCGACCAGAGAGGAGAACACTCTGGATCACTGTTACACCACCGTGCGCGGAGCTTTTCGCGCTGTTCCCAAGCCAGCCCTCGGCTTCTCAGATCACTCCATGATACATCTGGTTCCTGCTTACAGACAGAGACTAAAGCTCTCGAAACCTGCAGTGAGGAGCTCCAAAGTGTGGTCTGATGAAGCTGTGGAAGAGCTGCGCGCATGCATGGAATCTACAGACTGGGACCTTTTCAGAGCTGCCACAGACAGCTTGGATGAATATACGGACACTGTGACGTCATACATCCACTTCTGTGAGGATAGCATCATTCCAACAAGGACCAGGGTCATCTATAACAACGACAAACCCTGGTTCACTGCTAAACTCCGGCAGCTCAGGAAAGCAAAGGAGTCTGCTTTCAGGGAGGGTGACCGCAGCGGCTACAAAGCAGCTAAATATCAGTTCAGGAAAGAACTGAAAGCAGCCAAGTCCCGGCACAGAGAACGACTACAGGAGCAGTTTGGTAACAACGATACTGCTTCTGTCTGGAGGGGCCTACGGGAGATCACCAACTACAAACCCAAAGCCCCCCCCTGTGCTGATGACCACAAGCTAGCTGACGATCTGAACTTATTTTTCAGTCGCTTTGATGCTGCCCCTGACACCTCTCCCTCCCCCACCCCCCACTACTCTAACGACCCACCCATCAGCCCTGCCCCCAGCCTAACAATAGCCGCTAAAGAGATTAAACAACTCTTCCTGAGGCTGCACCCCCGCAAAGCTCCTGGCCCGGACCACGTGTCTCCGGCCACTCTGAGACACTGCGCCAGTGAGCTTACTCCTGTGTTCACAGACATTTTCAACTCCTCTCTGCAGTCCTGCCATGTCCCGGCCTGCTTCAAATCCTCCATCATTGTCCCCGTCCCGAAGAAGCCCAGGATCACAGGACTCAATGACTACAGACCTGTAGCACTTACGTCTGTCGTCATGAAGTCATTTGAACGCCTGGTTCTCTCCCATCTCAAGTCCCTCACCTCCCCCCTCCTGGACCCCCTGCAGTTCGCCTACAGAGCCAACAGATCTGTAGACGACGCCATTAACCTGGCCCTCCACCACATCCTACAGCACCTGGACTCCCCGGGGACCTACGCCAGGGTCCTGTTCGTGGACTTCAGCTCTGCCTTCAACACAATCCTGCCATCCCTGCTCCAGGACAAGCTCTCCCAGCTCAACGTGCCCGATTCCACCTGCAGGTGGATCACTGACTTCCTGACGGACAGGAAGCAGCGAGTGCGTCTGGGGAAGAATGTCTCGGACTCTCGGATTATAAATACAGGAGCCCCACAGGGCTGTGTTCTTTCTCCCCTGCTCTTCTCCCTGTACACCAACCACTGCACCTCCAGCCACGACTCCGTGAAGCTGATCAAGTTCGCGGACGACACCACCCTCATTGGACTCATCTCCAACAACGATGAGTCCGCCTACAGGAGGGAGGTGGACCGGCTGGTGTCCTGGTGCAGTGGTAACAACCTGGAGCTGAACGCCCAGAAGACAGTGGAGATGATTGTGGACTTCAGGAAGAGCACTGTCCCCCCGCCCCCACCCTCCGTGATGGACTCCCCCATCACCTCTGTGGAGTCCTTCCGTTTCCTGGGCACCACCATCACCCAGGACCTCAAGTGGGAGCCGACCATCAGCTCCCTCATCAAGAAGGCCCAGCAGAGGATGTACTTCCTGCGGCAGCTCAGGAAAGCCAAGCTGCCTGCACAGATGTTGGTGCAGTTCTACACGGCCATCATCGAGTCCATCCTCACCTCCTCCATCACCGTGTGGTTCGCTGGAGCCACAGTCAGGGACAAACAGAGACTACAGCGCATTGTGCGCTCTGCAGAGGAAGTGATCGGCCGCAGCCTTCCATCGCTGCAGGACCTGTACGTCGCCCGAGCTCGAGGCCGGGCTGGTCGTATCACAGCCGACCCCTCTCACCCTGCACATGGACTATTCCAACCACTCCCCTCAGGCAGGAGGCTGCGGTCCATCAGGACTAGAACCTCCCGCCACAAGAACAGTTTCTTCCCCTCTGCTGTTGGACTCTTGAACACTTCTTAACCTGTCCCCCCGCCCTTTATAAAGTCACTTTACTGCCCATCATACGTCACTTTACTTCACTGTACTGCTGTCACCTTACATTGTGTGCACCATGTGCACTTGTATATTGTAAATAGTAACTGTAACTCTATTTTAAATTTAAATTTATTCTTTAGAAGTGTTTTTTATTCTTATTTTTATTATCTCTTTTCGACTGTTGCACTGAGCCAAAGCAATTTCCAAGTCTGTGACCTCCCGTTACTTACGTTGGCAATAAAAATGATTCTGATTCTGATTCTGATTCTGATTCTAAAAGATGGCGGTGGAAGCACAAACCTGTTCCTGGTCTCTCCTCGTCGGGCCTTCACCTTCTTCCTCTCCTGAGTCTTTGTCTGGGAAGTATTTCTGAAAAATGTAAAAGCGACAATTTGAATTTTAACCACATCTGCTTTTACTGTGGCTTTAAAGTTTGGAATATTTTCCACACACACATTTGACAGTTAATTTATACACTCTAAATCAAAGCATATTCTTGTAATTTGGTTTCTAAATATATTTTTGGCTCAGTAATTACACGGAGAAATATGTAAACACAAAATGACCGAACTGGACGACATTTGGGAAATCTAAATACAATCATCTTGATTGTTTTATGCAAAAATTAATTACATTTGTTTCAATACGTTTATTGACACACTTTACACACGATCGTTTCGCCAAAGTGGGGGGGAACACTCATTATCCATTTATCATTGACTTAAATTTAAGAAGGATTCTATGATTTGAGGCTCCATATTTCAAATTTTCTCTGCAAGAGAATCAGAATAATTTTTATAGCCATTTAAGTAACAGGAAGTCACAGACTAGGAAATAGCTTTGGAGCGAGCCAATTTTTCCTTTTTATGGCCATTTGATGTCAGCTTAGCGCCGTGTTGCTAAGATGGTGGCTAAGGCAAACTGGAGGTTCCCTCTAGAGCAGGCATGTCAAAGTCAAATACATCAGAGGGCAAAAAACAAATTTGCTGCGAGCCAAGGGCCGGACTGGTTCAATGTTTATTAACTCATTGCCTGCCAGCCTATTTCAGAACAGGTACTCCCATATTGCCAGCAGTTTCTGATGATTTTTATAGATTTTTCAAGACCCACAGAATATTGTGTACTATGACTATCTGAAATCCGAAACCAGATTCTGAACGAATAGACTGTCTACTTTCATAAGCAAAAATAATTTTGTTTCTAGCTTGTGATCCCCAGTTGAGTAGAGGGAAGTTTTACTGAAATCACCAAAAAGCTGAGAAAAAAAAGGCACAACAAGTGCATCTAGCTGTTTTCAAACCATTCAGAGAGCGCTGCTGCCACCTGCTGGCTCGATTCAATATGCTCTCAAGCTTATCCCCAAACATATTAGATATAATAGACATCTGGGAACATGAAAATAGCGGAAAACACAATTCAATTGTCAATGGCAGGCGACGGGCCATGTAAAATTCATTCAAAGTCAAGGCCCGCGGGCCTTGACTTTGACACATGTGCTCTAGAGAATGAAGGCATCGGACCTCCAGCTGTGCGCCTGTGCTGTCCCCTCCTGGTGCAGAGGAGTCTGGTCCTGGCTCAGGGCGCTCTGGTGGAGGTTTATCCCAGAGACCTGCTGCCACGAGGAGGGGATGAGGATCTGCTGAGCTCCTGATGGCCAGGCCTGCTGTATACACACAAACAAACACACGTAAGACAAAGCTGAGAGAAGACAGTCACACACACAAAGCAGTTAAAGCCCCGTTCACACGACATTCTCATCTAATCATGAAGGACACGTTTACATATTTCATGGGAGACACTGCTCATCACCTTCTTATTCAAGGCGTCAAATCAGACATTTATATTATTATATTATTGGTATTTCAGAGTTGTGAACAATGGTTGCCATGTGAACGAGGCCTTAAAAAGCACCGAATCCGATCCAGGAGGAGACCATGCAAAGATCAGGCGCTGTGGGAGAGAAGCGCAGGGGGCAGAGGGCGGTCTGGGTCAGCTCAAGTATAAATAAACCTACATCGTAATGACGGATGGAGGACACTTGTGTTTATATACATTTATTAGACTACACTGGCAGGAGCGGCTCTCAGAGCAGGACGGTTTAGACAACAGCAGTTTGGAGGATGCCGCGTTTTCATTCATTGAATAAGGTTCCTGTACCGCCCCCTGCCTCCTGCACATGGAACCGAAACAGACTGAAGAGCTCAGATTAGAGCCGCTGCATGCTGCACTCAGACGTGTGAAGTCTTCAGCTGAAAAAGCAAACCACAAGAACCTCTGAAAATACAGCAGCTCAAAGGGAAAATTCAATACAAAAACAGCAGCTCAAGCCAAACGCGACGCCAGACCATGCTCCATGCCTCACTGAAGACAACTGGAGCCAGTCAGGAAAAAAAACTGTTATTCAACCACTTCAAAATACAATTTAAGTATTCAGAAAGTTAGGTGCAAAAGCCAGAGCAAAGCGACTGAGAATGAAAAGGCACAAGTGAGATTCCGAGAGGTTTCCCAGTAATTGAGATGATGAAAAGGTCGGCCTAGTTTATTACTAAGTTCAAATGTCAAAGACAACTTTGACAATTGTACTTAGTAATAAACTAATTTGCCGCTAGCTTAGAGTTAGTGTTAGTTATCAGCGCATTATAACAGCTCCTTTAGACTTTCATTTGTGTTGTGCCCATAGACTGTATATTAGGAGTGGACTGACCGAGTGTTGGCCCTAATGTGGAGGAGGTCACTTAGAGCTAGCCAGAACAGGCATTTAGAGAGAATATGAAGCCAAATGTATGAACATTTTGTGGACAGCGACCGTAGAGTTTCCAAGTGTAAAGCCAAACTCAGCAGCAGAAGGCTCCTGATTGGTCAGTTCTTCTGGCTCATATCTGGATTTACGAAGACATCACAATATAAACACCAGGAAGACAAAGCATAGCGCTCTTTGTGCTCCTGGTTTTGCTTACTTTTCAATGTAAGCAAAACTGTCCACAAACACTTTCTTATTGGGCTACATTGAGGTAGCAGGTTAGCAATGTCGATCTGTATACTGTATCTATGGCTGTGTCCTATTGAATACCGTCAGAGATTAAAATGTGAAAAATCAGTCTGCCTGGCATTAGTGGATTAAACCATTTCAGCTTCAATTACGCTGTGTAACCAAGGAGACTGAATGCTATTACTACAAGGCCATGTCTTGTATTCTCATGCAACTTGTGCCTTCGTTTAAGCAGGTTCACAGCAGCAAAAGCAGCAGCAGCGGTGTTAGTGAGGAGGGGAGAGAGGTCTTTACTGTAGCTTTACCAGCACTGTGGCTGTGTGTTCCAGCAGCGGCCGCCCCAGAGGCAGAGAGTATTGTGGGCCCAGGCCTGTGGAGGGGGGGTGGAGCGTGGCCACCATCAGTGGAGTGCACGAGCCCTGGACCACAAGGAGAGTTAGGAGCTAGGAGTTAGGAGCTAGGGAAGGTCTCACACAAACACGTGTCAAACTGGAAGATTTACATCCTTGAGTCAATAATACTTTTAAAAGCACATTGTGCTATTTTAATGATAACAAAAAGTTGTGTTTTTAAAGCTTTTAAACAACAAATAAATGGAACTTTGAAGTAAAATCTATGTCACTTTGGATTTTTGCTCTTCACACATCTGTCACATCTTTAGATCAAGGTATCCAGGCAGAAAACTAAAACACAGAGGACCACCCTCAGTCAGCAAATCACCCCTCAGGCCAATGTGTCAAACCCCAGGGTTCTTCCTTAAGCTACATTCCCACCGCAAAATCATTTGAACAACAATGGAGCCTCCCTCCTTCGTGCCAAAATGTCTGCTTCTGCCAATCTGTTTTACTCTACTGTAAAACTAAGTGAATGCTTATGAGGAGAGATAATAGTAACTGTTTTCGTTGGTGAAAAGCCTGAGAAGTAAATGTATTGTCAAGGATGTAAGTCTCAGTTTGAGGAGAGGCCACAACTCTCCGGTCGATGCTTCTGTGTGCAGCGTGCGCCACCTGCTGTTGACAGTTATCACCACACAGTAAACTCAAACAAAGCGGTTGCAATTGTCCTGGAAACAGCTGTGGTCCAGAGCAAATGTATAGAATGAGAAACATGAGACACAATGTAAAATGCAAAGGGAAAAGCCATCTCTGTCTCATATGCACTTTGTAACTTTACTGAAGGAAACCGACACAATGCGCTTTTTTCAAAGGAGGGTTAGAGTCTTAATCTTGAACCAAGATTATTATTATTTTTTTCTGCCTCATATTGATCACTTCCTGCAGAACATGGACTGAGAGCCGGTGGAGATGGTTGGGAGGGCCTGGTCTCGCCCCCGGGCCGCATGTTGAATAGGCCCGTGTTCTGGACAGTTCGTTGTTTAATAGTGTCATTGGGGCAAATGATACGTTTGTTTGTGATAACAACTTAATTGCAGAATTTATTTTACGTATGGGGAGGTTGGTTTAGGTATACTTCGTTAAACATACAGTTGGAGGCACTCTCAGGCATTGAAGTCAGCCTGGATATCAGGGCCTACAGTTTGACTGAAATACTTTCTTTGTATTTTTGGTGCTACAGTGTTATGAAGAATTTTCTGTGGATGTAAAATTTACTAAACTGGATTCTGTGGAACAATACTGCATTATTAAATCAACCTAAACCATGGTTTTGTATATTGAATTCATTTACACACCTGAACATCAATCATAATCGGAGGTCCAGGCTGCGAAAGTGACTAACATTGTGTATGTCCCTAAGCATTAAACTGGAATAGTGGGATGTTGTTGATGAGGAAGTGAAGGCAACAGCAGTATGTAACTAAGCAGCTGACTGAAGGCCTCACCTGTGCGAGCATACTGGGCTGCAACTGCAGGGACTGGCCCGACTGGTTCTGTGGGACTAAAGGGACAGAGCTCTCCATGCGCACAGGAAAACTGGAGCTCTTTGAGGACGACTGGAGCCCTGCACAACACAACAGCACAACATTGATTATCAGCAACATTAAGAGCTGCAACAATGTCCTAAAACTGTTCATGGGCTGTGATATGATACGTGCTCAGATACAAAGTACTTTCAATTCAATACATTTCCAGGAGCTTTTACACAACTGAGTGTTGCTTTTTTACACTTTCAACCATAGACTCAAAGACATCATTAACAGTCTACGTTTATTCAAGTCTATGACACCGCTTGCCTCAACAGTAGTAGTCGTATCATTAGTATTAGTATCAGCAGTAGTAGTGTCATTAGTATCAGCAGTAGTAGTGTCATTGGTATCAGCAGTAGTAGTGTCATTGGTATTAGTGTCAGCAGCACCATCAGTAGCACCATCAGTAGAACCAACAGTAGAACCAACAGTAGAACCAACAGTAGAACCAACAGTAGAACCAACAGTAGAACCAACAGTAGCACCATCAGTAGCACCATCAGTAGCACCATCAGTAGCACCATCAGTAGTACCATCAGTAGCACCATCAGTACCTTGTATGGAGGAGGGGGGGCAGACGATGAGGGTCTGTTGGAAAGGCTCCGATTGGCTGCACAGGCCGCTGGCTCGTGTGGGGAGGGGGACGCTCTGCTGCAGGCCTGGGATGTTGATCGTCGCCTGTTGATACAGAGCCGGCTGGTAGTTCAGCAAAGGCACAGCGCCACCTGCTGAAGGCACCTGGGACACACACACACACAATTTACATCAAGGCTCTTTTCACAATTTTCTATTTATTTTTAAATTTTATATATTTTTATTTTCCCATTTCAAAGCGAATGGGAAAATCATTTGCGTGAACTGCTCTAAAGAGCAGAGGTTTTGTACTGGAGACAAAGACAAGTTTGGTCAAGTTAAATCTTACACAAACAATGTATGTTTGTTTATTTGATATTTCAATAACCAATAATCAAAACTGTCTCATTCAATCCTGCTGCTTTTTTGTAATAGTTTGTAACTTCATCGGAACACATTGTAAATTAGTAAATTACAGAATAAAGTAAACTAAAAAATACTATATCCATCAATAAATCCATCCTTATTTCAATTAGATCAATGCCACAATTTCCCAAATGTAATGGAATTTTAGGTGTGGTACAAGTAAGGAGCCGCAGAATGTGATTAAACAAAAGGAAAAGACACATTTAGCATGTTCAACAGCCCATTAAAAGTAACTTTATAATGCAAACTCTGAGTTAACCGTTTCTCCTCAATGTGTGTTACTATGACGACGCCTCAGGTGGAGTGATATGGAAGCTGTAATTTAACATGAGGTTAAAACTGTATTACAGTCATCAACAGCAGTTTGAATCGAAACCCTCAAGTGGCATTAGCTTTTCCCCACGGTCAGTGAAATATCAAACCCGTGATTCATAGTTCCTCCGGTTCCTGGTTTTCTCCGTACCTGGTTATGCTGGTTGAGTTGGCTGCTGAAAGTCACAGTGAGGTTTCCTGCTGCAGCGCTGGGCACATTAGTGGAGTATAAAGATTTACTGCTGTCGTAGGAAGTCCTTCTTTTGCAGATCTCCATGTTCTGGAAGCACGACTTTACACTGCAGACAGAAAACAGCTCATCAATCACAAATGAATGCTTCCTAGTGCAAGTATTCGGTTTATTCCACTGATTACATAATAACTAGATATCTACTGCTCTGTTTAAACCAGTTAAAACAAGTATTTATTCGAAGTATTAATTGCTACTGACGTGGGGAGTGTTCATAGATCTATATTAGAAATGGCATAAAACCTTGCGGCAACCAAAGCTTGTGACATAACAAATCCAAAGAAGTGCAGGTCTGGTCTAGGTCCAAGTCAAGTCAAATTCGTTTATAATCAGAAGACAATCTGCATTTGAAATGATCCGTTCAAAAAGAACTAGAATTTGCACAACAGCTGAAGCCATTGTGAGTGACTGCGTACCATAAACAAAAAAGAGCTACAAATATAAGATGGATTCAAGAAAACAGGAACAAACAGGAACAGGACCAATATTATGTTGCTCTGGAAAATTTAAAAGAATATTCAGAACATTAAAAAATAAGTAATTATTAGCTTAAAAGAGCATCACAACTGTGTTATTATGGTCTGAGTGTTGAGTATAATGAGTTAGCAGAGTGTCAGTATCACTCACTGTGAGCTGTGGGGGTAGTCCATGAGATGGCTCATGGTCACAAAGGGATGTCCCAGAGTTTTGGTCGGAGTGATTCTTTTATCAGCGTCGAGTCGGAGCATTCGTTTCAGGAGATCAATGAACTCTCTCCTGTCGGCTTTCTCTGCCAGCATGTCTGTGCCCTCCAGGTGAGAGGACAGATTCACCTGCAAATCACATCATCGCCATCATCAAAACATTACGACGACAGCTGTGCGACTCCCACCACTACAAGGATTGGGTGTTTTTTATTTTTTCAGGTGTGAAATGGTTGAGCAGCTCTGATCGTAACACCTGGACTGAAACACACCTGCATCATGTCGTCGAGGCAGTTGAAAATGTATTTTCTGGCTTCTTTGGATTTGATGCCCATCTCCATCTCGTGCTCTGACGGAGTCTGGAAGAATCATTCAAAGAAATAAATATTAATGTATGGATCCAAATTAAATGTACACACATCTACAGAGTTTGTTTTGAAGATTGTGAATAATATCGTTTGTTTGCTCTTCTCTAAAGGGGAAATAAACACCATTCAGAACTGGGGACGGAAACTTCTGATCAAAGTCAATTTTGGGTCTTGTATCATTGGAATTTCAAAAAGTTATTTGATGATAAAAGGCATCACACAAGCATTACCAAGTTAAAGCGTTCACGTTATCGTACGTAACCTCTGAAATGCTTTCACTTTTTTTTCCAAAATGTCCGTTTAGATGTTCAAACCAACTGTTTTAAGATTAAGCGATCCTTTATTCGCCCCACATTGGCGACATTTCAGTGTTGCATCATCAGTTACAGAACAGTTGAAATGAGGAGCACACAGCACAAGACAAACAGCACATAAGATAAGAAAAGATAAATGAACACAGCTCTATACTAAACCCTAGTATATATTAATAATAAATGATATTTAAAATTTGCTTTAGCAAAATAAGGAAGCAGTCTACAATCTATGATAAGAAGCAAGGATTATTCTAATCTCTGACTGTAGGATAATAAAGATGCGGGTGTAAAGTAGGGCTGGGCGATAAAACGATAACTATATATATTGCGATAGACACGTGTTCGATAGCGATAGAAAACGGGGTCGATAGAACTCCGATAGTTTAACTTCACTCCGTTGGAAAAACAGGAAGAAAACACAGGAAGTAAAGCCGAGTCAGGGGATGTAGGCAGAGGCTTCTCGACCAATCACAGCCGAGCAGGAACCGCAAAACTTTCTGGGAAATGCAAAAACACCAACAACCGCGCCATGCGTAGTGCCCATGGATCTATAACATGTGCGGCAGCAGACAGACCCGATGTATTCGGCGAAAGCAAGAGATTAACTTTTTCCTCGGGAAGCATGTGCGGCACACAGAGAGCCGCACGGAGCGGTCACGGGGACACAAGATCCTCGAAAACAGCTAAACCAGGAGCTAAACCAGGATTACCCAGGACTAACAACGGGGGACACAGTGTGAACATATTCCTCCAGCCTCATTCCCCCGTGACTGTAAACAAGGCTGCTAAGGTTTGTTAGCACACACGACAAATGTATTTAGGTTAAAAAAAACAATCAATATATCTTTATCGACCGATATGAATGACTTATATCGTGATATAGTTCTCAGCCATATCGCCCAGCCCTAGTGTAAAGTACTGTATATTGTAGAAATGTATAGTTGTATGTACACATCTGTGCATGTGAGCAGCATGAGGGTCTGGGACACAGTGACTCCTGTGGTTGTATGATGTTGAAAGTAGTGGTGACGTCCACTCGGGCTCACCTTGAGTCTCCACAGGGGGTAGCTGGAGTCTGGGCCTCTGTTGAAGAAGCGGCTTGTTTTGGAGCCGGCGCTGAGCAAATACTCGGCTGGAAGACCCTGAGTCTGAGAAATGTACCGTATCTGCAGGGAAGAGTTTGAATAATAACCATTGTGTGGTTATGTCCCGTCTGCTGCAGCGGCGCGGCACTGACCTGGTCGTACTCCGAGGCTCCGGGGTAAAGAGGCCAGCCCAGAAACAGCTCCGCGATGACGCAGCCCAAAGACCACATGTCGATGGCCTCGCAAAAGGGCAGGCCGAGGATGATCTCTGGAGCCCTGAGACAAAAACACAAGTGACCACAAAGGTATCAGCAGAAATTTATTTACATAGCACAGTTCATATACAAGCAAAACTAACAATCGCACAAGGCATTCAAATCATGAATAATCACAGTAGATTAAAAAACTGTTGTATGCACAGTTGAACTAAACTGCTTTCAACCTGAATTTGAACAATATCAGAGAGAAATCAAAAAGACTGTTCAAGATTTTCACTGCATAGGTCTGAATCAGTTTGGTTTCATAACTAGTTTTCATGTATGTATTTCTGGCCTCGGTCACATCTTTTAATCAGCTTTCAAAAAAATAAAAAAATGGGACCATCGTCAGCTCTCGACCCGAAGAGACAAATAGTGACTACAGGGCTCTTCCTTACAAGTATGAAAAAGATAACATGATTTCTACAAAGATTCAGCATATTGTGGTCTGATTTGTTCAACATTTAACTTTTATGAGATTCTGTTGGGACAGTTGTATGTTTCCATCTCTTACAGTCCAACTACAGCAGCATCAGCTCTATATGACGTGGGTAATAATCAGAGGGTAATAATATATGTCCTGTTCTGTGCACCTGTAGTAGCGCGACTGCAGGTAGGTGGAGCACACGGCTTTGGACACGTGACTCGCGGAACCGAAGTCGATGACCTTGACTCGGTATGGCTGCCGCAGAGGGTCCACCAGCATGATGTTCTCCGGCTTCAGGTCTGCGTGGATCAGACCCAGACTCTTCAGCTTCATCAGCGCCGTGGCCACCTGCACAGAGGAGAGGGGACCAACTGTCAAAGGCATAGTCTAGTACGTGAAAACTAAAGACATTTGCAGATTTGTTTTGAAAGATTTTAACATTGTTTTTGGCCATAAACACAATGAGACTAATAATTTCTGTTATAGAATTTGAAATGAGTTTGTGGCGAGAAGATGTATGGACACACATGTATAAAAGATAAAGTGATCTAAGCTCAAAATTACCCACTTCTGCCACCAGACGGAGGTGAAGGGTTTGTACCTGTTGCAGGATGGGCCGGATGTGGCGCAGCGGCAGAGGGCTGAACTTGCTGTGCTTCAGGAAGTCGTAGAGGTTCTGCTCCAGCATCTCAAACACGAGGCAGGTGTGGCCTTTGTGTTGGAAGCACTCGTACGAACGCACAAAGTTGTATTCATCTGCGTTCTCCGCACTAAGCCGGTTCAGAATGCCCACCTGCAGAGACGGGAGAGAGGAGAGGTTGAAAATACATAAACAAACACTAAAAACGTTGGTAATAGAAGTTGACATCACTCCCATCAAGGGGTAAATGTCACGGACACACAGCCATTGACACAAAAACAGTAATATTTGTCTCAGTGTTACCTCTATCTGCCCCTGCCGTGCGTACGATGGGTGGTTCTTGAGGATCTTTATGGCCACGATCTCATTTGTCCCCCTCTTCCAGCACTTGGCCACCTGCCCGAACGTCCCGCGGCCCAGGAACTCCAGCACCTCGTAGGAAGAGGCCACGGAGCAGAGGATCTCGTGCTGCACCAGCTGGTAGTCGCCCTCCCCGCTGGACGAGCTGCTCTTGGTGGTGGGGGCGGAGTGGGGGATGGACTGGCCCGTGGTGGTGCCTCCGTTAGCAGCCCGCGTGGAGTAGGGTGCTGCGGGGGCCGAGAGCTCCTCCAGGATCTGCACGCTGCCACAGCCGCTGCCTTGCGAGTCGGTGTGCTTACGCTTGTGCCCATGCCTGAGGACAAGGGGACACGCGCCTATTTTAAAATGTTCACGATATTTAAATAACAGCACAATCATTCAAAACATTTTATTGATTTTTTCTACGCAAATATGTTTGATATTAATAGAGTAGAAGTGCCGTTTCCTGCCGCTGTGTCCTAGTCACTAGATATCTTCTTACTAGTGATGGGCTACCAAGAAAAAAGTCCCATAGAACTCAATGTAAACTAAAACAGCTCGACCTTAGCTGACAGAGAACCTACAGCTTTCACAAAGATCGGATTTTGTGGGGATTTTAGAGTTCCTTGTCATCTTGAACTTTTTTTCTTCTTAAATCCTTCGCTTTTCTTTAAATCCACACTTTACAGCCACAAACTCTGTTCGTTTCCTTCCCGCTCTGCCGCCGCTCTGATCAGCAGCGCTGATTGGTCAAACTGCAGCCGAGCCCCTCTGTGTACGTGCATGAGAGCCACACACGTTCACTGCGCAGAACTGGGAGGACCAGACGATAATATAGCAGAGTTCCGCTGATATGTCAGCGCCCGTTAAGTCCCATGCGCTACTGAGCACAACCAATTCATTTGAATAGGGCGCCATCTTGGATCACCGGGGCTTTGTGTAGACATGGAGGCTCAAATTACAATTCACCTTATTATGAAAATACATTGAGTTTGTTTGTCTTGTGACAGCTGATCAACCCCAAACCCCTTTTCAATGTTTTAGGGGATTTTGAAAGGATCCGATACACACATGTGAAAACTGGATAGAATCAAATTGAAATTAAATCCATATAATTTGGGTCTAAAGCACAGTTCTACGTGTTGGGGTTGGAAAGTTGTGTCCCTCTATAATCCTAATCTCACCGGTGACTGCGTGTGTCCGAGCTGGACTCCACGTGGCTGTACTCTGCGACTCTCCTGCTGGACCCTCGGGCAACACTCCCGGTGCTGTCAGCTGCCCTCACCACCACCTGCCCCCTGGAACCGGCCACGCTGGGGGCAAACACCAGCGACGGGGCGAACGCAGGCACCGCCATTGCCGCCGTGCTGAAGGGGTACGCCGCATACGCCTCGCTGCTCGTCACATCCCATGCTCCGCTCTCCACCTTCAGCTTCTTAACCCTACAAAAGGCACTGGACGAGATGGAGGGCGGAGAGAAGACCTGCAGCTGGGCACTCATCTCTGCAACAGAACAGATGCAGGTTAAAAAAAAAAGATGCGGACTGGTCAGGATCAAAGGAACAGAAGACTGCACAGCCCCAGTCCTCGTTCTACAGTCTGATACAGTCTGGATCAACAGTCTGTCCAACTGTAGGAGCGGTTCTCTCTCAATATGTTTGCCTATATAGGAGTGTCTAAGGGCATTGGTCATCTGCCCCCAATGGCTCCCATGTGTTTGTTAGTATTACATTTTCAGTGTTGGAACAGTTTCATTCGAAGGAATTGAAGTCCCAAAAAAGTCCCTGTGTTACTTGTGGACCCAAAAATATCCAATTGCATTTTGTTTAGACTATGATAATGACTAAATTTGTTATTTTAATATCCACACATGTACAAAACAAAAACAACTTAAGGTTTGTTTAAAGAGGAACAATGTAGTAACATTGTAGTAATAAGTTTATTACATATTGTACAGTCTTACAAACATGTTTAATATAAGACAGAAACTACAGCGTTTAGAGCTCTCATACAATAGACAGTTTTGTTCCCTGCAGCTGACAGACAGAAACTACTATAATTACAGCCTTTGCCTTTATCTTCTTTCGGTAAAGACCATTAATAGGAGGAGACTTCAATTACCATTCCACATGTGGAGCGTCTGCAGGGAAGAAACCCCCAGTTTGAACACTTAAGCAGGAGCAGTTTGTGTGAGCTCTCAGTCGTACAGGGATTAATCAAAGCAAAGGAAGGTTTCTCACCCATCATCTGTACTTTTTAGAAGGTTTTCCCAACATTAAGGACAAAACGTTGGGAAAACTTGCAAAGAAGTACAGATGATGGGTGAGAAACCTTCCTTTGCTTTAAGAAGGAGCAATTATTGCACTCATTTTTACAGCATTTTGGTGAATGCTTTGGGCTGAATTAGGGCTGGGCAATAAATCTGCTTTTGAAAAAATCTAATTTGTGAAAAATCGTGAAATCAAATGAAGGATATTGTGAGAGTTTCAGCAGCACATGAATTATATTTGCAATATCAGCAGTCTGTACAAAACTTTCATAATACGTATTGGGGAAACAAATTAAAAATAGTTTTAAAATAAAATATTGAGCGGAAAGATCAAAAAATATCTTTAAGGGCAAAGTCTGTCTTTGGTGACTTTAATGAAAATCGAAATTGTCCAAAGCAGGAAATAAAATCAAGATTTTACTTTAACTTTGATTTACCAATTACTTTAATTTTACTTTGAGGGCGACAGTAGCTCAGTTGGTAGAGCATTGGCCTTAAGGCCAGAAGGTCATGGGTTCAATTCCCACCTCTGCACCTTCTCCACCGACTCCCACTGATGACTGCTGTTGTTGTGTCCTTGGGCAAGACACTTAACCCCACTTTGCCCAAAGCCCCCGCTGGAAGATCTCAGCTCCTGTGGACTCACCACCTGCAGAGGGTCAGTGAGGGGCTGGTGCTATGAGACTTGGGTGGCATCTCTGACTGCCACCCCCCTGACCCAGAAATGGATTAAAGGGTAGAAAATGGATGGATGGATTTTACTTTATACTTGCCATTTCGCCCAGCCCTAGGCTGAATACAACAAAACATACCCTGATACAAAGATACCCCTGAAAGAATATGTAAAATACCTCATGTCTTATCTCAAGTAAAACAAATATGCAAAATAGCGGTAAATATTTAGAGTACACACTTTGCAAATAGCAGCCAGGGTTCCAACGTACTGTTTGCACTGATGCTGGACCCTGCTGCATTAGCAGCTTCAGGATATTGACGTAATAGTCAGTGGACACATTGCGAAACCTTATATCACATCATGCTCACTTTATTACTACTGGGAGCAGTGTTCATTGATCATTGTCTGACCTCATAACATAATAACCAGCATTAGAATACATTTATTCTAAGCATCATAACTTGTCCTTCTGAATGATGTCCATGTACTTCCAATAGGCGCAATACCTGGCCAATCCCAAGTCGGAGTCCTCCCTCCAACTGTTTAGTGCTGCTGGTCTTTGTGGCTGGTAACACCATGTAGTGTCCACATGTTCTGACTTTGTAAAGGGTCTCTGTGGTGTGGCACTGACTATGGTTTAGGAGGCCCTTGTTAGGATTTAGGTTATGTTTTCAGTTGCCACTTTGGTTTGGTCTGTTTGTCTTATAAATACAGGAGCCCCACAGGGCTGTGTTCTTTCTCCCCTGCTCTTCTCCCTGTACACCAACCACTGCACCTCCAGCCACGACTCCGTGAAGCTGATCAAGTTCGCGGACGACACCACCCTCATTGGACTCATCTCCAACAACGATGAGTCCGCCTACAGGAGGGAGGTGGACCGGCTGGTGTCCTGGTGCAGTGGTAACAACCTGGAGCTGAACGCCCAGAAGACAGTGGAGATGATTGTGGACTTCAAGAAGAGCACTGTCCCCCCGCCCCCACCCTCCGTGATGGACTCCCCCATCACCTCTGTGGAGTCCTTCCGTTTCCTGGGCACCACCCTCACCCAGGACCTCAAGTGGGAGCCGACCATCAGCTCCCTCATCAAGAAGGCACAGCAGAGGATGTACTTCCTGCGGCAGCTCAGGAAAGCCAAGCTGCCTGCACAGATGTTGATGCAGTTCTACACGGCCATCATCGAGTCCATCCTCACCTCCTCCGTCACCGTGTGGTTCGCTGGAGCCACAGTCAGGGACAAGCAGAGACTACAGCGCATTGTGCGCTCTGCAGAGGAAGTGATCGGCCGCAGCCTTCCATCGCTGCAGGACCTGTACGTCGCCCGAGCTCGAGGCCGGGCTGGTCGTATCACAGCCGACCCCTCCAACCACTCCCCTCAGGCAGGAGGCTGCGGTCCATCAGGACTAGAACCTCCCGCCACAAGAACAGTTTCTTCCCCTCTGCTGTTGGACTCTTTAACACTTCTTGAACCTGTCCCCCCGCCCTTTACTTCACTGTACTGCTGTCACCTTACATTGTGTGCACCATGTGCACTTGTATATTGTAAATAGTAACTGTAACTCTATTCTTTATTTTTATTATCTCTTTCTGACTGTTGCACTGAGCCAAAGCAATTTCCAAGTCTGTGACCTCCTGTTACTTACGTGGCAATAAAAATGATTCTGATTGTCTTGTTAGTTTTAGCTTTTTTTGTTTGTTTCTGCTTATCCCCCTTTTCTAGTATTTGCAATACCCATGCAAATAATTATAATCAGTATTTTACCAGTGGCAGAAATACAAGGAATTCATGTTATATATAAATGTAGATTGACGCCATGTCCGTCCTGTTCTTATGCCGAGAGCAGCGCAGCCATGGAGGAGGGAGGGGGAAGGCGAGACTGGCTTTTTCAGAGCACTGGTTCCACAAATACAGGAAATAAACACATTATGTAAAATAAGATTAATCTGATTGAATGTGGATTAAAATACAACCGAGTGCATGATGATTATCAGTGTATAGCATGATTACCCCCCCAGTTGGTTCAGTTGAAATATGAGAAATATGGTGGAAATAGCACATCTGTCATAATGTGTTCCAAACGTAATTCTAATAAACTACACTGATCACTGCAATTATTATCATTATTTTTCATATTATTTTTGACAGAACTGAAAAAGAAACTAGATCAACGCCACAATCCAAGCAACAGGCCTTGCTGAAAATGCACTCATTACGAAAGCACCGGGGAGATCGAAAGACCGTAAACACGCACAATTATTTTACCAATGAACCTTACGTATTGGACAGACATTGAATACATCCAACACTAAATATTGACACAGCCTTAGCAGTTACCCCCACACTGGCCTCTCGTTTGTTGAAACTTGTAACATCCCAGGGCAGCGTAATGGAAACTGCCACAGCCCTGACTAATGAAATAGCTTTGCCATCTGGGACTTTAAACCAAATACGACTGCAGTTTAGCACTTTAAACTACTCCACACTGTAAACAAACAGTAAATCTATATAAAGAGCGTCCTTGGCTTGGGCAAGTGACCAGAAAGAGGCCACACTGCTTTAAACCTCTCCACAGCCGTATTATCTAACCAGGATGCTAACGCTAACTAGGGTAGCGCTTCAAACTTTCGCAAATATGTGGCACTTCTTTACGTTTTTCTTCCTCAAATGCACGCAAAACCCATGTGTGCGCCTGTGCAAAATTCCCTGGCGTGTCTGAGCGTGACAACATACCGGATTCTGCGTTGATACGGCGAAGAAAAACAAGCCAGTCCGAGGTTTAAATCCCCAGCTCTGCACAAGCGACTTGTGTTTAGCCCCTGCTAGCTGCTGTTAGCCGGAGAGCTAATGCGAAGCTAGGCCAGCATTGTTTCTTCAGTCCAGAGGAGCGGAGCCGCGTCCAAATGGGTTATAGCGGGTAGAATATAAAACAATATCCAGTGTATATCATCCTTATGTGATCAAAGATGATATTGCCATAAAATATATACAGATGAGGCGTAAAATCCAGGGAAATCTCCCAAAGAAGGGCACAGCTAACTGTGGGGGGCAGGATCCGACTCACGGGAACGAGCCGAGTCTTTTTATAAGCTACGATCCCTACGTCACATCCGGGAGAAAAAAAAAGTGGACATGTTTTTAGGCTAAATATTCATTACAATTAGATCTACGCCCTGTAAAATATAATGGACTGTATACATAGAGTTTTTAGTTATAATAAACTGTATAAAGAGCTATAAATATGCGCGAAAAAGGATCGTAACCAAACGGCCCGTGGAAATTTCTATGACGTCACCGTTTGTTGGATTACTGAAACTTTCCTTCACATGTCAATTCTTCGAAACAGCTTTAAATTGGTGAAAATGACGATGAAGCTGAAATTGGATAAGTATTGAGTAAAAGTAACGACTAAAAAAAGAGACAATTTGTTTCGCTTTTTTGCTTCATAAATAATCCATCTTGTTGGTCCCAGAAGAAAAAGTCTTGTAAAGGTAAACTATGAATGAATCGGACTACAACACGCAGTCTTAGTCTAATTAGAAAACATACTTTGTGTACTTAAAAGGGGCCTGTGAGTCACTAATTGTAACTTTGGGCTGAGAGCTGAAAGAAAGAAAAAAAAAAAAGAAAATTGATAGAGAGGACTCTTTTCCACTATTCTGTCTGAAAAAGCGGATCTATTAACTGTATTATTTCCGTTAATTTGGTTAGGACAGTGTGAATGAATGAACGGCAGTCCTGTGAATGCACCCGATTTTAGAAACCCCTATGTTGTCGGTTTAAAAGCATGAAACCACTATTTTGGAAATTGGCGTTGGCCATTGAAAAAAATCAATATGGCGGCCATTTTTGAAGAGGTTGGCCACATAGGAGACAGTTAGTTGAACATGAACTTGAAGTGAAAGGGGGGCACAAAATATTTCCTTCTTCCTAAAGAGGGACTGGCAGAAATACTTGAGTAATATGTGACAGAGACCAAAAATACATGAGAGAACTAGTGATGGATGGTTTCACTTTTTAAAGTTCAAGTTTTTATCAAAGAAATAAATTAACTTTTAAAACATATTCCAATTTTCTGAGTTCTACTTGTGTTTTCTTCCAGTTTCACATTCATTCGCTGATGAAACTCTTGATGCCTGAGGTCTTAATGCCTTAAATCAAACACACAAAACAAAAACCAGACCAGACCAAACTCGTAAAGTGCAAATTTTCCTTTTTTATTCTGATTTCATTTTACAGCAGAAATTATGTAAAGCATTCAGAAGACATTTTCCACATATAAGGGCAATATTCAAAACACATTGCATGGCCTCAGCAACAAAATATCATCTTTAAAAACATCAACAGTTCAGTGATGCCTGTGCATGCACAATTTCCAAACAGAAAACTGGAAGGGCGAGGGGGAAGAGAGGGAGAATTCTTCAAAAACTATTAGTATAGGCTACCAAAGTAAACAAAATGAAAGTATGTTAAGACAGGGGCATGGATTTGTAACACAACCGCAGGCAAAGTTGGTTCACAGTTCATGGGAGAACACAGACATGACAGAGGAAGGAGGAGGAAAGTCTAGCCGTAAGATTCTATAAAAGCGTCTATCATTCGAGCATGCAATGTGTCGATTTCCCTCTGGCCTGCAAAGATTACGCCATTGTTGCTAAAGGCAGACGTTATTCAGTCTGCCAAATGTCTACTTTTATGGAGATTTATTCGTTATTTTTACTTTATTACTAAGTCTACTTCATTACAGGTATACCGTGTTTCCTCATTGTCCTTACTACAGAGGTCTATTGGATCGTGAGTATAGCAAGTTTACACAGAAAGAGCGTTTTGTAAAGCGGATGGAAGATGAGTTGAACAGAAAGTTGATGAATTTTTCTAAACCGTTTTTGGTCGACTTTTATAGACATGAAAACGTCTGGTTTTTTTTATTAGGTACACCGTGTTGGAAGGCGTTGAAGCTGAAGCCAAAATAGTGTGAAAAACTGGAGGAGTGATTGGTTAAACTTGGAAAAAGCCAGTATGTGCGTAACTACATTACCCATGGCCCTCTGCTCTATTTAATTACATTGTACAAGAAAAACAATGTCGATGACTAAGGAGAATAGATAATGGGGGAGGGGCCTCAGAAAATTCAGTGCGTCCAATCAGGAGCCTGTGGGGGCAGGTCTAACCGGTGCTTGCAATAAAAAGTCTCTTAAAGTGAAGTATTTACTTTAAGAGAGGGCAAAGGGACACCTTCTTTCAAATGAAAATGTCCCTTGTTATGTGTCCATTGACTTTACTTTAGTCAATAACCTTATTATAAGTAATAAGTATTATCAATAAGTTAATATTGTAAAAAGCTGCCGTAGGATATCTATATACAGCCATCTACAGATCTATTCATTATCTAAAGTCTCATATGAAGTGCTATATATTCTATATTGATTTTATTTTCTAATTTCACAGCGTTTTAAAATCAAAGCTAATTCCATCCCAACAGGTGTGCCTATTAAAAACTCCAGTCAATACATCCAAAACATATATTTTCCTTCTAATGTCCTTCACTTCCTCGTTCAAACACACCTTAGTTTAAAATTAACGAGGCAAAACATGGCCATCCCCTATTTTTGCATCGTCTCACAATCTTGTGCGTTTAAGACAGTAGAATTATAAATAGTAACACTTTAAATTCGATATAAGTTTGTCTGTAACAAAAAGCATTCAATTCATTTTGATATAAATACTGTGCGTGGTAATTGTACACAAATATATGACATAGCAGTAGTAGTAGTAGTAGTAGTAGTAATAATAGTAGTATAAGTGCAGTCTCTCTATTCTTCAACCCTGAGTAAAACAATGGGAAAGATTGGATAATTCCCAAAGACATAGGAGCACACGTATCAATATATGTAAATACTTTTGATATATTTGTGTACAAAAACAAGGGAAATACTGTGTAAAACTGTTCATATAACTTTCTATAACACTTATACCATCGTTCCAACACTGCCAGGATATTCCAAAAAACGGATTCTCAATTGGTGAGGCAGGGACAGGAAAATTATGAATATAAGTGGAATTTTGATCAGACAAATTGCATAAAATTCAAAACATATTCTCACAGCGTCGTCTGTATGAGGTAAGACTAAAAGAACAAGTTTGTGGAATGAACACAAGCATCCCTCAAGAAAACCATAGTCTGTATAAAGGTTCAATGCTAACTTTCTAGCTCTATGAAGCCTGTAGGGAAGTGCCCATTTTGTGATTCCAAATATGTCCCCTAAAAACTGACCGATCAGGTGTTGTCTGTCTCCAAATTCAGCTTTGGCTAGTGAGTAGCGCAAGCAAGGAACAGACCAGGCCGCACCTGATTGGCTCTTTGGTTGCTAAGTGGTTGCCATCCCCAAATTGGGCTCCCAATTCCTGCATAAGTAGCCTGTTTGAGTCAGTCCAGCTTAGTCCACTACTTTTACAGTCTATGGTTTAAGCTTGTATTTTGTGTGTTGTTCTGTTTGTATGGGCTTACCTAAATGATGCTTTATGTTATCTATAATATAATATAATATGAATGGCTTCAGGTGGGATGAAAAAAGTAATCTCAATCTGAATGTTTAGACCATGTTTAGTTTTGCTTTCAGATTATATCTATTCTCTAGTACTAGCCATTTTATAGGAGCATTATATAGCACCATCTATTGTTGTTGCAAAGTTGTCAATAAAGTTAACATCCCTGGACACCACCAATTAAGAATCTCATTTTCAACAACATGATCACATGCAGAAAACAAAGAAAATTTCAATTGACAAAAGCAAAACTCGCATTTTTGATCGACCGCTGCACAATTCTTCAAGGCCATTCACGCACACAACAGCTTTTCGAACCATTTCAACACACACGATTAGGAAATGAAACCAAACAAACAGAGAACTGGTACCTAATTTGGAGCACACACAATATTTCCTGAAATTGTTTTGCACTTTTTAAAATCTTTTTTGAGCAGGCACTTTCAAAAAATAACTTTGTTTGCGATGGCAGTGGTGAGAAATCAAAGTCTGAACAGAGTGGATGTAGGAGGGAGGAGATGGGAGGAGAGAAGCTGTACTTTTGGTGTAAAGAGCGTGTCAAAACCACTGGAGAACAATCCACATTAGGAACAGCGGCCGTTTGCATTGGAGTGGATACAGCCGACCAGTTCGTCACACAGCTACAGCTCCAGTTTGCATGTTCTCCCTGTGTTTGTGCAGTCAGCCAACTCAAAAATCAGCGCACTCACTTCTATGCATCTAAATGTATTATTTAGATATTTGTTTTTGTCACCAGCGATCAGTGTTAACAAAAGTATTAGTTATGTGATTTTGGAAAACTTGTGCTTAGATAACAATGACTCACCAGCTTAACGTAAGATGGAAAAAACAGTCTAAAAATCAAAATAATTACTACAACTTTAGCACAATCACTCAAATAGTAAATAAGATATAGAATAAAATCTAGACAATGGCTTTTGAGATACAAAAGCCATTGCCTTATGACTTTCGTTTAAAGATCCCCTGGGCTAGAAAATATTGTGAGTGGGAAATGGAAACACTCCTGATTGGCTCTTTGGTTGCTAGGTAGTTGCTATTAATTGCTATTAATTTGGGTCCAGATGTCTGCACCTGGAGCCTGTTTGAGTTTAGCTCAAATTGGCCTCTTCTGGGATTAAGGAAAATGCAATGCCTCACTCACTTTGAGCACTTTGTGACTTTCAGTCTACAAAAAGCGCTATATAAATAAACTAAATTACTTACAGTATTAAAAAAGTAATATTACAAGTCGTGGAGTAGATCAATTGCATAATTCAACAGAATTGGTCACGTTGGTATAAATTTTGGACAATGGCGTTGGCCACTAAAAATTAAATATGGCCGCCACATAGGAGACACAAAAGTGCTGCACAGATAGAAGCAAAATATTGAAATATTTAGAATATATTCCAAAGTTGAAAATGATTGGCTACAACCATTACTATGTTATTACAAAGAACGTTACCTCACTTGAGAAATGACTAAAACAAATTAATGCCGGAGCATTTTCTTTCATCCTCCAAAGAACAAGTTTGTCCCAATCGATGCCCAGGAGACTTCACACAACTTTAAACTGTTTTTAAATAAGTTTGGGTTAGATCAAAATAATATTCTGCGATTGTTTTATTTTGTGCAGTGACGCAACCATAAAGCAATGGTAAATCAATAGTTGCATTCACAGAGACAGATTTCCAATAAAGTATTTTTGATCTTAATAAATGTAGACGCTTCAATTAATTACCAGACTGTGGGACATTCCAACACGGCGACGGAAAAGTAAACCACTCCAATGCAAAATGACCGCCCAATCACTACCTCTTACGACACCAGTCCTCACATTCACATCTGTAGCAAAATCATTGTCAGGAAGAAGCCGCCATCTTGGACAGGTCAAAAAAGTCCACATTTTCTCTCACAAAAATACCATCTTTTCGTAAAATTTCCTAAAAGTTTAAGGAGGGCTGTATGTCAAGGGGGATCTCTGCTTTGACTGTAGCATGTGTGATTCACGGACCTACCTTTAAAAGCGAAAATCCGCATTTTATGTTTTACTATAGGCAAAAGTAGCATTCATAGTTATTGGCACCACTGGCAGGGAAAGGGTTAATTTTTGCTAGCCGACAAACCAAAGCGATTTAAAATGAGCTAACTTCCCGTTTCTAAACCTTGTATTTGCATGCTTTTTAAAGAAATCTCTAGTTTTTTTATTATTATAAGCATTTTAAAATCCTCTCAGTCCATTGTCGCTAAATTAGTTTCGCTTCATGCACATTTTTCCATTTTGGTATCTACACTATTTACAATACAGCCATCCTTTTTATCTTTTTGCGGACTCGTCTTAATATTATTAATAATGGGCGTAAAATAATTTATATTCATCTTAAATACAGTCTTCTTATGAAAAAGTTTTCCCCCAATATACCTCGTCGATTTATTTACAGTAGACCAAAATAGTGTGGTTTTGAATAGAAGGGGAGCCAGCATAGGGAGCAGTCAAGGCAATGGCCAATCCTGGAGTGAGAGCTATTTGACGGACAACGTTTAACTGGACACGGGCGAAAGCGGAGAAATATACAAAAACTGGACACTTTCATCATACATCTGCTTTACAGTGTGTATAATATTCACCATTAATTTTGACTCTGTTTGATCTAGTAATTGGTCTTAAATATAATAGAGCCACTCTGCGAAGGAAACTCATTTTGAACGCAATCTCAGGACAACATCGTCTGCAAACAGCAGAGATGAAATCCAGTGGCCTCCAAACCAGACCCCTCCGGCCCCAAGCTGCACTTAGAATTTCCAACATGCACTGGGAACAGTCCTGACTTATTGATGACGATGCGAACGCAGCTCTGACTCCGGTCATACAGGGACCGGACGCCCCTTAGCAGAGAACCCCGTACTCCTGGAGAACCTGACAAAAACTCCCCAGGAACAAGGTCGAATGCCTTCTCCAAATCCACAAAGCCCATTGTGGACAGGTTGGGCGAGCTCCCATGATCCTCCAGTATCTGACGAGGGCTATGAGCTGGTCCAGCGTTCCGCGGCCATGACAAAAACCTGAATATGAGATTCTCCTTTCCGGTAAAAATATTGCGGAAGAATAGTTGCAGGATAATATAGTACATTTTTGACATACCTTTACATTTATATTAAGTCAAATTCTTAATTTATTTTCAGGCTTGACTGAAATCATGACAAAATTATGGAAAATGTTAATTAATTTATTTAATTTTAAGTTATTTTACTGACTGAAGCCACATTTGTTTGTCTGATGTCATCTTATTTATGGTCTGGTTTGGGGCTCCTTGAACAGAAAAGTGAATATTTTCCCGTATTTATTCATAATTTTCTCCTGTGTGAGATCAATAAAGTCTATCTTATCTTATCTTATTTATGTTTCATTTTGAACAACAAAAATACATAATTTTAGTTGCACCGTTGTTTTTTGTAATCACGCCATTTTAAATATGAATACTTTTAGTTAGACGGATGTACCGATCAAAGCGCCCAGCTCTTGTACACCCCACTCCACCCAGACATAACAAGAACTTTTCCCCAAATGTTCCACATAACACAATTTTCGCCAAATCATTACTATGATTTTTTTTTTTTTTTTTTTACAAACAAATGAAAAACAATTTAAAAAAACAGCACCCAAAGTTTTGATCATTTACACAGTTCACATTACGCAGGGCAACCGGATGGATGGGAGACACAACTTACCACATAGAGAAATCCACAAATAGAAAACTTAAAAAACCGTCACTAAAGCGATTGGCAAAAAGCATGCAGAGCTCCACGGCTCGGTTACATGCACTCATAAAGGACAACAACGCGACGCACAGCAGAGAAAAGTCCATTCAACCGGACAAAATCAACTTTAAGACAGTTCTTGACCCATGGAAATAGCCCACGAAACAACAATGCCCGTCTTACATTCAGTGCGATTCCTCCCCTTTGAAGTCCCAATTCATGAAACTGGAGTGTGAGATCTGAACCTGTACAAAAATGCGCTGAAATTCTTGTTATTATTATGAACTGCGGATGGTTTCAGAGGAGGAAGTAGCGGAAAAAGTCGTTGCATGCATTTGAATGACTTTTTTTGGTCTTGTGGGGAGTTTTTTTGTTTGGAAAAAAAAAAGGCCGATTGCAAAAACAGAAAAAATAAATAATAATTTAAAAAGTTGGGAGAATGTGTGAGGCAAATTTTACTTCAGAATTAAAGCAGTGATTGGGAAAAGTCGGGAAGCCATGATCCTAATAATATCAATATAATTATATGCTAAGAAATTGTGGTTGTGAGAAAAAAAAATATATTTTGTGGAAATCTTTTTGTCCCCTATGTTCAGCTGTATGTCTATATTCACTGAAAAAACCCTTATCTTCATTAACTTAATGTGTTTATCTGATCTATACTATTGTATACTATTTTTTTTTTTTAAAGAGGAAATTGGGTCAATTTCAAGTCACAACTTTTTAAATCTGTAATAATCTGTAAAAATGTATACATTTTTCTACAATAATAATGTGTGCTTATTCAGCAAGCAAAAAAGAGAGTACTTCAGAGAGTACTTCTGTTATTTATGTATTGGCACAAGTACAAAGTCTGTACATAGAAAGACAATAGCACTAAGCTATTTATATATAACAATATAAAAATGCCTAAAATTACTTCTTTCCTCCAAAAAACTATAAAATGTGTACGGGTTTTTACTTGTCCAACTTTATTTTCTGTAAAAAGTCGAAGCCTTTCTACCAACTTTTTGCCCATTTCTTTAGTTCAGGTTGATTTGAATATGCAGGGCTGTCAATAACATTTTGGGGGGCCACGGGTTGATAATGACCCCCTTCAAAAAGAAATAATGGGAAAATAGTGAAATTATGAGCCCACTTTCATAGTATAGATTCACGAGTTTTGCCAAGCACTGCACTTCGTTAAATCACATTTCAAACATTACCCCAACTTTAGCTTTTCGAAACCGGCATGATTAAAAAACAGCTTATTCTTAAAACTCAAGCATATCCAAATATATTTTATCCGGTCGGGAGAATAATCCATCTTCGTCATTTCCACAATCGCCGACTGGTTCCTTTGCGACAACAAAAAAAGTAAAAGAGTGCAAAAATGCTATGAGGTTAATGTGATGGCCTCCTCTCGCCTTAAAAACGTGGAGGAGCAGTGCATTTGGAGTCGATCTGAGCTGCCATGATGGACACGTCGTCATATCCTCAGTCAGATGTACAAGTTTATATTTTTTTTCATGTTTGGGGGAAAAAGGAGCTCAAAACACAACAGCTCCTCAGGTTCCTCAAGTCAAATTCACAACCGTTGTTCCATAAACTTTGCGGTAAATGTGAAGTTTGATACAGGCTAATCAGCAAGAAAGCCTACCTTGATCAATGATCATTTGTTGTGTTATGATTGAAGGCAATTGACAAAAAAATTAAATAAATACAAACTATTCGAAGCCCTGTTTCCATCAGTCCTACTTGGCCCTACTCTTCTCTACTCTACCCTGATAGGAAGAGTCATGCCCAGCCCTCTTTAACCGGTGCCAGGTACCTGGTTCCATCCAGGTCAAGCTGGTACTAAAAGTTCTAACTGACATCAATTGGCCAGAGGGCAGCTGGAAGCCATGGTTCGCCATGGTGAATTTCCCCAGATACCCCAGTGGCCATAAAGCGGCCAAGTAGGGCTGGTGGAAACAGGGCTTTAGTTAATATTTGTTCAAAAAGTCTTGTACTGTACAACCATGACCTGTAACTCTACATCCCCAATTAGGCAGGTACCAAGCCGGGATATGTTTAAACCACTATTTGTTCATGATTCCTTTTAAATGATTAGTTATTTTTTAATAGTTCCCTCACGAGTAAGTATGCTAACACTGATTAGCCTTTTTCAAGCCTTCGAACTGTCATAAATGCCGCAGAGTCTATGGGGAAAATAAACGGAGGACTTGCTTCGTATCTTGTTTTTGGTCCGAGCTGAGCTCCAGACATACGGGGCAGAGTGGACGGGGACGGAGGAGGGTAAGTGGTGTTGTTTTTAGGGCAGGACCGCAGGTGGAGGTCCGGAGGTCACAGGCTGAGGGAGCGGTGTGCAGAGGGGGACATCTCAGGAGCCTTTTTCTGCTCTCTGGCCCTGGAAACAAGAAAGTCACATTGAACAGACAGACGAACAAAGAGATTTGAGAAATGTATAATTGGTCAATTTTTCCAGGTCAAAGTTAGATAAGTCGAGGGATTCATGCATGTTTGTATGCATTCAAGAGGGCCACAGCTCTGATGAACCCCATTTTTTACTATACAAGCTCAATGTTCTATATGTACTGTCTCTGGTAAAGTTTTTCCTTAAGTTGTAATACATGATTTGAAAAAGTCACACTGGTACTAAGGCATGAATAGATCCATCAACCCATTTTCTGCCACTATATTTGCTGCCGGGGGCGGACTTCCTGCTCATTTGATAAGATGCTTCACATGGTAATATTCATTCAGTCTGATGGAAGTGTGGCTTCTAATCTGTGCCATCGGCCTCCACCACACCACACCACACACGCACACGCACACGCACACGCACACACACACACACACTTGGCAAAATAAGAGAAAAAGTAATAGTGACTCTAACAAAGATGAGCTAACCGACAGGACCAGACTAACACGACCTGGTTAGAACCAGGGCCAAGCAGGAACTAAAAAAGATAAACAGGACCGGTGGAAACTCTCCCAGTCGGCCTTGAGTGGAGCCAAGTAGGGCAGGAGTAGGGCCAAGTATCGCTGTTGGGAACAGGGCTATAGTTTGTAAACTGTGACTGTGCTGTAAAATGTGATAATGGCCAAATGTATTACGTTATTGGTTGTATTTCATGCTGTTTTCTCTTTACACTTTGGGCAGCTGGTGTTGTAAATGCGCAATTCAAATAAAGTTGCATGTTCTTACTTGGGATAAATCTATAGAGTTTTCTAAATCTAAAACAGAAGCATCCTCAGGAGGACATATTTCTTCCCTGACAAGCCTCTCACACTATGGCTGGTGATCGCATCCAGCCCCAGTGTGAACCAGGACCAGGACCAAGACCAGGACAGGACCAGGACCAGGACCAGGACCTTCGCTTTGGTCCTGTTGGTCTGGCAGCATGCAGCAGGCGGGAGCGGAGGAGGACTGTAAGCCCCTTTCAAGAGCCTTAGTTACTTATTTCAAGACAAAGGCTGATTTAACACAATATTTACCACCATTGTATGCATTATTGTGTGTTTGACCCTTAAATCACGATCTTGAGAATATTTACTTTGGCATTTAATTTAGAATTATAAATATTTACCCGAGAAGAAAATATTTGATTATAATTGATAGAAAGCACTAACATTGTAATTTAGTCGTAGATGTGGGGTATTTACATTCTGTTATATTTTCATATAAAGCTGGGTACCTAGAGTCCAAAGATTAAAGATTTACCTCGGTAGGAAAACATGTAATTCGACCCTCACTCTCAAAACACTTTTCTTCTATCATTAGTTTTCACAAGCATGTAATTTTGGCCTCTATTACTTCTTGAGATCAGCTTTTTCAGGCAGAATAAGGAAAAAAGAGGAAGACCCTCATCAGCTTTTAGGCCAAAGAGTCAAATAGTGACTCACAGGGCTTTCTTACAAGTATGCAAACAATGTAATATATTCTAATAATTTACAGTCTGTAAATTATTAGAACATACAGTCTGTATGTTGAACATTTATTCACCAAATGGTACTTTATTTGAAGAAGATCACAATTTCACAGTAAGAATCCAAGAAATGAATATAAAGCTGATGCTTAACAGGACAAAATGGCTCGGGTATAAATAGAAAATAAATGGATACATAAAAACGTTCCTATAAACTGGATTTATTTTGTTTGTCTTTCTTTTAAGTCTCAGTAAAAGGGGCTGATGTTGGGTTCAGCCCTCTCTCCGCTCGCATGCAGCAGGAAGCAGAGCCCACGCACACTCACCTGCTTCAGAGGTCTGTGGTCCAGCATCGGGCTTCATGAGACAAAACAACAGCGTTAGCATCTCTTCAGCTAATCTTCAGCTAATCCTACAGACTAAGCTAACACTCGCTGAGTGGACATGCGTTTACAGCAGTTTTGAATCAGCGACAGTTGCAGTCACTCCACCGCAGACAAAAAACACTGAAAAACTTGCGTTTAAAGGTTTATTGAGTGCAGCAAGACATATCTGAAAAAGTAAATGCTAAATATGCAACTATCCATACATCCATTTTCTTCCACTTTATCCGTTGCAGGGTCATGGGGGCAGCACTCTGAGCAGAGACGCCCAGACTTCCCTAACCACAAGCTCTTCCTCCAGCTCATCCGAGGAATCCCAAGCGGTTCTCAGGCCAGCCGAGTCCCCCTACAGTCCCCAGAGTGGGTCCTTACCCTTGGTCTCCTCACGGTGGGACATAGCTGCAACACCTTCCCAAGGAGGAGCCTATAATAAAGGCCTGTGGAGAAGTAGCAGCTCTACCCGTGTGTATCAGGTGTGTATCTGCAATCCTTTTGGTCATTACCCAAAGCTCATTAAAACCAGTAAATTGAAGCTTTGATTGTAGACGCTGCTCCCTGAGTCGGATACAGAGACAGCGTCACTGCACACACTGCACTGATCCGTCTGTCATCCTTCTCTCACTAGTGAACCTGTGTTTCTTGAACTCCTCCACTCAGATTTGGAGAAGAAACTATGCCTGACAAATGTATGATTTTGATGTGTGTTATTTTCATTAGCATAACCAAAGATTAAGTTGGGATGTTTTGGTGTGTATGTAATGTGGGTCAAAACAAAGATGGATTGAGTTTTCCGCTTTCTGGGCCCTGTAAAACAAAGTGACCAAGCTAACGGCTTTCAGATGACCAAAATAAGCCAGATGTGTGTGACCCGTACACCAGCAGTAGAATTTCTCATTTTATTTTTCACTTTTTACCTGTGACGGCAGCGGAGCAGGAACCTCAGGATTTTGCGAGCGGCCTGGTTCTGTTTTTTACTGAGGAGGCGGCTGTGGATCAGAAAAACAATGTCCTGAGAACTTCATTGGCTTCAATATGTTTTAATATATGTCATTATTTTTCCTGGATTAAAAAATATTACAAGTTCATGGAGACATTCCAATTACTACGCCCATTAGCAAGTAATCCTGCTACTCGGATGTCAGACTTCCTGAGAAATTATGGGCAAAAGCGATAACAATCAAGTTGACAGGCTCTATGGCCCTGTGTTAAAGTTCCGTGTCGACCCAGTTACAAAAGTGGTAAAGGTCAGTGCGTTGTTTGGACTTGTGTCAGCTTTTCACCACGAGAATGTGTCAAAATAAAAGGGTCAAAACAAACTTCCGACTATAAAAATAATTCTAAAGTCACAGCACAGGGCACACAAATCTACTTGAAGAATGCTAACATTTTGAAAACAAAAAAAAGTAGGAGAGCAGAAAAAATGGTCCTACCCAAGCGGCTACACCACCTCTGCTGCTGTGACCTAAAGTACTGTTGATTTTTAATACTATTGTTAGCTATTTTTAGTATGAATTAATGTGTTTCTGCTGCTACTTAACACCTGAATCCCTCCTACGGGGATCTATTTATCTATCTATCTATCAAAGACCAGAGTTAATCCAAGTTAATCCATGAACAACACCTCCCACTGCACAGCACTGTAGAGGAGCTGAGGAGCTCTCTCAGTGGAAGACTGAGACACCCTCAGTGCAAGAAGGAGAGCTACCGCACTGCGGTCAGATTGTACAATAAGTCACTTTAAGTCACTAATGACACACATAATATATCCTGCACAGACTATATTTGTAACCTTTAATATGTTTCCACACTTCATGTCTTTTTGCACAATCTGAGTGATACTATCTGTGCAAAATATGACATGAAAATTTCTCCTGTGTGAGATCAATAAAGTTTATCTTATTTTATCATAATGGACAATGTTTATCATCCACATGGAGCAATATTAAAAAAATTCAAACGCTGAGTTGTTCTGACACATCAGCCCATGTCAGTGTGTGAGGAAGAGGCCCCCTGGGGTGGTTTGGTTGAAATGTCCATGTTTGTGCGCAGCGGAATATGGAATGTGGCCTATAAAAATTTATTGATTTAAAAGTATGTTCCACTGCTTCATGGCCTTCTCAAATCGAATTTGGGACAAACAACCATCAATTTCCAAAGATTATCACATCTAAAAAGCGCTGTAGACTCTGAAAAAAAATCAAATAAACTTCCAGGCCGATTTCTGCTATCACTAACACTGCCTCGGACTTTAGTTTTTTCCGACGCACAAACCTGAGCGAGTGCCTGTAGGAGCGGTAATATTGCTGGATGAGGACAGCTGCGCGGCGACTTTGCTGGAACTTCTTCTGTTCGACTAAACTGCGGAAGCGGCTCTGGATCAGGACAGCAGCCAGGGTCATCCTCTTATAAAGTGCATACTGCAACACAACAACACAATCTGCTGTTCAGGAGTCGGATAGAATGAGACGTATGGTGCTTCTCTGTGCTACATACAGAGGCTTGTAAAAGTACTTGAAGGTATGCACAGACCTAAATACAATTGGAAATCTGTGGCGTAAGTATTACAGAAGAAATATCATGCATTATTTTTGTGATTTGAAAGATAAGTTACTTAGTTTTAGAATGTGATATGACATCTTAAGCAGAAATATATGGTGAAACAATTAGGAAGTGTAAATAATGCTATTGACCTAAAGTTACTAGATGCAAGCAAAGACATGTTTTTTTTAATTATTATGATTATTGTGTATTGTGCATTCATAACACAGTCACAATCATTCAACCCTCCCCTATGGTACATGATTTATGTGGAAACCTGAGTACCCGGAGGAGTATAGTATCTAACTAAAGCATAGTTACCTGCTTGTATCTCTTATAGCAGCGTTGAATCACAGCTGCAATCTCTTTACGTTGTTCCTGAATTGGACCCTGCGAAAGATCGGAGATGTGGAATATTGGGTAAAGAGGAGGAATTTGAAGATGTATGCAAAGAGAAAAGAGCTTGATTTTAGTTAGATGAAGCCGACGTACCTTGTTTTTTCTGAGTGAGAGCAGTGCGAGCCGGATGGTCTCATAGAGTTCTGCTCGCTCTGAATCGCTCATGGAGAATCGGGACGAGGGGTTTTTGGGCTCGTTCACAGTTCCACAAAGAAACCGCAGCTCTGAGGGACAGGACGGAGGAGGCTGCTCCCCCAAGAGAGAACTTAGCCTGGCCATGGGGGACGGAGGGCTGGGGTTCAGGAACCTGGAGCAAGAGACACAGTGTGTACAGTTAAGAAAGCACTAGGGAAAACTGGAGCTCTCTCCAATTTAATACATGTGCAAGACACATGTAAACCTGTGCATTGCAATCAAGGTGCGAAAAAACAGTTCTAACAACATTAACCGAATCCTACTGAGACAAGGTAAGTAATGAATTTAAGAGCACAGGTAAAAGCCATGCTTATATTAGAAAAATGTGTATTTGGACTGATGTGATTATGTACACACATATGCTCCATCAAATACAGTCGTTAAACACAGTTTATATATACAATCTTTAAGTACATAATTAAATGTGATGTTTATAATAAATAATACATGTTCAATATATGGGAATGAATAAATATAATACAGCACTAAGATTAAGGTAGGAGAAGGCTTGCCTGCTTTGAGACAAGTTCCCAGAAATTCAATGATTTTTGCTGTGGCAGTGGAGCCTGTTTGAAAATCAAATGCTCAAAGTATATGTGAGATTAAGCTCCCGTTATGTAGACTGGGACCAGAGTGATCAGACCAGACTGTTCTAAACCATTATGTCACCTCACTTTTAATAGTTTGCAAAATGCTTGTGATTCTCAGAGATCTGCAAAGATGTAGCTCCACATTAAGTACGTGGAACTCACCTCTCGATGTCACTGAGGCACCCCGACAGAGCTGTGACTTCACCGCTAAGTCCCGCCCCTCGACAGTCTATCTCCATTTCCATTGGCTCCTGCTTTAGTCGCTCGGTGGCCGCCTCCATGATGTGGTCCGCCAGCAACGACACGTCCATCTGGAAATCAAGTATCAAACTCTGTCAGTGTCTTGACTTCATCTGGGAAAGGTTCAGGCTAATAAAAGCTTGAGATACATAACCTTTTGTTTAATAAATAACACATGTTCTTTGTGTTAAATTTTAAAGAGTTTAATTTTAAATTTTAGAGTTAAATTTTAAAAGTTGCAACAACAACAAAAAATAAAAAATCAGACCACAACATGCAGTCTTCATCTTATTAGAAAACATGCCATCTTCTGCATACTTGAAAGAAAGATCCCTGTGAGTCACTCCTTGAGGTAAAATACATGTGTGAAAACTAGTGATTGAACTGTTTTGATAACGAGGAAATAGTGACATGGAACGTATTACATAGTTGCAGTTTGGTGGTTTGAAAGTAAGGTATCGCAGCTTTAAGATGATAATTACTTTGGTATTTCATGTTTTAGTATGTATATACGAATAAACATGTACAATGGAATAAGGGATTGGTTCTCCGGGTCTTGTGCAGTAGTGGTTCTACTTACACAGGACCAGAGTAACATGTGAGCGTTCTGACCAATCAGAGCGGGACGAGAGTGAGCCGAGTATGTTGCATAAAAGAGTAAATTCAGAGAAAACTGAAGGATTTCAGTCCAGTCCATTCACACTTATAATGTGAGGTAATGTTTGCTGGTCTGACCTGCATTTCGTCGGTCTGGCCCTGCACACTCAGCAGCTCTGTGTCTCCTCTGTCCACCAGTCTCTGCCTCACGTACAGCCGCTCTTTCCCCACAATCCTCCGGGCCAAGCTTCGGTGTGTGGGCCCCCAACGTAGTCCCCCGGTCCTGGCCTGCAGGCGGGGGAGTGAGGAGGGGGTCAGAGGTGCCAGCTGAAGCCCCAGAGCAGGGCCATTGCTGGGCCTGGGTCTCTTTGAGGGAGGGGCATCTTCAGGCTGGGACTGGGTCTGGCTCCAGGACTGAGGGTTGGACTGAGACTCTGTTTTCACCTCTGTGAATGAAATGTAACATAGTCACAATCAGCATTTAAGAGCATTTAAACAGCAGTAGTCAAAGCTGGGTACATTTTTGTTTTCCTTCCAAACATAATGTTGTTTGTCCAAAGAGAAAAAAAAAAAATAGAGAAAAATGTTCTGAGCAAATCAGACCACGACGTGCCGTCTTCCTCCTATTAGAAAACTTGCAACTTGCATACTTGGAGCACATCCCTCTTTCCATATGAGCCTCACTGAGGTTTTTATTCTTTTGAGTTGTTCTTTGATGACACACGATGGTCTAAGCCTAAGGACAGTGGTCATCTGGGACACTTAAGGACTTTTATTAATATTTATGGACAGTGGTCCTCCCGCTCTCAATGGATCAATGGCTTCTATGTGTTTGTTATTATTGTAGTTGAGGAGACGACAGCGAAGACTGCTGTTGTGATTTAGGGCAATACAAAAATGAATTGAGAAATGAATTTGTTTTGGTTTCAAACTTAGGTAATGGCAGCTTCAACGTAGATCCATGAAGCCTGTTTACCTGTGCCTCTGCTGGGCTCCTCTGCTCTCTGCTCTGCTCCTCCTTGCTGCCCTCTGGTGGTGTTTTCTGGTCTCTGCTCTGCTCCTCCGTGCTGCCCTCTGGTGGTGGTCTCTGGTCTCTGCTCTGCACCTTCTTGCTGCCCTCTGGTGGTGGACTCTGGTCTCTGCGTGCTGCCAGAGAGGGGGGTCTGTTCCAGGAGCTCTGCGAGCTGAGTGTGGCCTCGAGAGCGTGCAATGTTCAGGGGCAGACGGCCGAGCGAGTCTGGGATGGAGAGAGCTCTGTGGTCCCACTGGAACAAGAGGAGAGCAGCGTCTGTGTGTCCCAGCGCACATGCCCACATCTGAGAGGAGACATTATACAAAGAATTTAAAATTGTGTTTCTTGTGGCATACATTGGGAACAGCAGACTCAAGGGAGAGAAAAAGGCGTGCGTTCATGCCTCCATCAACGCACGTCCATGCATCAGCTGTGGGAACACAGCTTTAGGTTGGGGAGATTTGTAGACCTATGCACCACGGGGAAAACTGCTAAAATAAAATGGTAAAAACAAAGCTGGAGCAGTAGCATCACAGAGAGGGACAGAAAGAAGCCAGAAAAGGTCATCAGTAGGTCGAGCTCTGTCCTGGGCTTTCACCTAGACACAGTGCAGCAGGTGGGGGACAGGAGGGTCCTGGACAAACTATCATCTATGCTGGACCATGACTTTCACCCCCTGCAGGACACTGTCTGCTCTGGAGAGTAGCTTCAGTGACAGACAGATCCACACGCACTGTGATCAAAAGGTTTCACAGGTCTTTTCTTCCTGCTGCTATCAGACTGTTCAATTATAACGGCTGAGTCAGTAGATGTCCACTCATTTGTAAATATTAAATATGTGTATGTGGAATGCTGCAATTTCAGAATGTCACTTTATTTAAGTTTATTTATTCTGCCCATGTTGCGCTAACATGTGTGTGGGCCGCAACACCAACATTTCCCCACTGTATGCAATGCACCCAGGACCAGAGGAAATCCCATTATAATGAACTACAGTAAGTTTATCATCCACATGGAGCAAAATAAACATTTTCAGACACATTTTTTTCAAGGACAACTTTATAAAGGAAGTGGCAGTGTGTGCCACGGCCTAAACCTTTACAGTGAGAGCATTACACGGCTCCATCTTCTTCACCTAACCCCAAGGTAAGCAAAGGACTATAAAGAGTTTTGTGTTTCGGTTGGGCCAGGAAACCTTTTGGGCCTCTGGAACTTTTGATCAAAAAAACCCTGGCCTTTTTGGTCATTAATGGAAACCCAAGACACAACAGAAGATTATAATGCACAACACTAGAATTGCTTTTTTGGAAAGAGAAACCTGTGACAGACCAGAGGAGTGCAGGAGAAGTGGTCGACGTTCAGAGGATCCACCTCCAGCTCCAGCTCCAGACTGTCAGAGTGTTTGGAGCTAAAACACAAACACAAACATGTTCAGTTATAACCAAACCAGTACCAAAAAGTGATGAATAGAAATAAGTTAAATAGATTTTAATATATCTCCTCACTGTGCTAAAACCAGACATCCCAGAACTATACTTGGCAACTTTCTTCCATAGGTTGTAAAAGCAGGAATTTGTGAAGTACAATGATATAGCCCTGACATTTGAAAAGGTCTTTTTCTCTGGCTGTGAACGATCTTTAGCATTTTTACTTTTTCACTGTCAACAATTTTCACATGGATTTTTCATCACCTTTTTCAGACAGAAAAGTGAAAAACAACAGCAACAAATGAGTTCAATACTATTTTATTCTAGTATCTGTATTTTGTCTTATGCATTCAGGGCTAGTAGTGCTCCCCCTCTGCCTGTTATAACAAATGGAGGAAGTCCCTCACCGCCATCTCCGGAGCGCGTGGATGAGGCCAGTGTAGCCCTGAGCTGCAGCCAGATGGAGGAGAGTCATTCCCCTGGAGTTCTGCGTGTGATCCAGGTCTGATCCTGACGCCCAGCACGACTGAGCCATCATCTGCTCACACAGACTGAGAACCCGCGCCTCGAAGGAGCCCTGGTCCACAGGCTGGGGGGGGAGAGGGGGAGAGAGAGAGAGAGAGAGAGACAGAGAGAGAGAGAGAGAGAGAGAAAAAGAGAGAGAAAGGGAGAGTGAGCGAGTGGGAGACAGAGAGACAAAGCAAGAGAGTAAGGGAGAGAGAGGGAGAGAGAGCGAGTTAGAGACAAAGCAAGAGAGTAAGGGCCAGAATGAGAGAGAGAGACAAAGGGAGAGAGAGAGAGAGAGAAAGAAAGGGAAAGAGAGAGAAAGAAAGGACGACAGAGAGAAAGGGTGAGAGAGAGAGCGATCACTGTACTGTTTCAGCTGCTAATGTGTTTATATAGACACATAATGCAACAAAAAAGTACCCATGATGCTTTAGCAAACACAACACACAAACACATGGCAGTGAAGGAGAAGGCTTTCCACAGTTTACCTGCTCCGTGGCTCCTCCTCCTTTTGGAGCCGTGGGCTCAGAGCTGGAGTTTGACATTTCTGACATCCTCTGCTCCATCTGCTCCAGCCGCTCCAGGATGGACATTCGAAACTGCGTATCTACAAAAGCAAAGTCAAAAACAAAATAAGACAAAAATGCACTGAAACAAAGACACAGCATAGCAAAAACTTTTGCACATATTGTCATGTTTATTTTGTTCTATTTTTTATAGTTTTGTATTCAAAACTGTGAAATGGGGTTGGCATTCATTCATGTTGCAATGACAGCCACAAGTCTTGTAGGGTATGACCTAGGGCTGCACAATATTGGAAATTAGAGTGATATTCGATATGAGTGTTTAGTATTTTGAAAACAATATCATTGCGATACTTTTGTCTTTCACCTAAAATTGCAATCTGCATTGAAACGCAAGAGAAACAAAAAATAAGCACAACATTAATGACATTCAAATGCATATGAAGAGTTTGGTTCCAAAACGCTATAAATCCATTTTGATCGGATTTCTTAAGCAAGAAAATTGAATGATGAAAATCACTATTGTCTGTTCCAAATCTTCATATAGCATCAGAAGGTTATAATAATATAAAAAATCAAATCCAGATTTTAATATTTCAAGATTTATATTAAAAACAGGTTTTCTCAAAACGCAATGAATTAAGATTTCAAAAGGCTATAACTTTAAAGTGGTTGAAGATAAAGGCATACTGTTAATGATAAATATCTTCAGTATATCTTCCTGAACCAAAATTTGGGATGGAAGTTGATTCGCCATCTAATTTACATATTTTGACGTCATCAAGGTGCCGACCATATTGGAGAATGTCAATGTACACATTTCTAAAAGCTATAGTTTGAGAGTGGTTTGAGATAAGAGAATACAAAAGGTTACAAAAATATCTTTTCGAAAATGTGAAATATCTTTAGTAAAAAACAAAATTGGGGATGAAATTAAATTAACTGATACAATTTGTATAAAATATTTTAGCACTGGTCGGCAGCCACATGGAATTGTATTATCAAAGACCTCCAATGATCAAGGACTGGAGTTTTTTTATTTTCAAAATGTCCCTTTCAAAGAACAAGTGCATATCTGTTTCAGTAGAAATGAGGCTCCAGAATTCATCATTTAAAAACAGATGAAATGAATGGGCTCAGACCTTGTCAGATCATCTCCACAATAACAGACTCATCAACACTTCTGATACTCTTCCTCTACTTCTCAACAACTGCAAGCCATCATCATCGACTGTCTTTTTCCTGCAGCTTTTCCTTTGTTCCCCGCAGTTGTTTCCATTCCTGATACTTTCACCCACATGTGGGTGTAATGTCTCTCTGTCCCCTCCACCCCGTTCCCTGCTTGGCATTCACAGAACGCTTCTACCGCGGGCACACGGAGGTGAAGCATCCGCTGTACTGTGGCTGACTGTGGACTATGGCCATGGATCTATTATAATAACTGGATAGGGTATTGCTAGTTTATAGCAGAAGAACCACATGCTCGGGGGATTCTCGCGGTACTGCAGACTAAACAAGACGAAATTCACGTGGGCTACCCAGAAATTTTCCCTATAGAACTCAATGTAAATTAAAACAGCTCAACCTCAGCTAACAGAGAACCTACAGCTTTCATAAAGATCGGATTTTGTGGGGATTTTAGTGTCCCTTGTCATCCTGAACTTTTTTTCTTCTTAAATCCTTCGGTTTTCTTTAAATCCACACTTTAGTGCAACAAACTCTGCTCGTCTGGCTCTCGCTCTAACTCCCGCTCTGATAAACTTCTCTGATTGGTCAGAGCGCGGCCGAGCCCCTGCAGGAGACCCACACATGCATATTTGGCTGCGCAGAACCGGGAGGACCAGACAATGCCCAAATACAAGCGAGTTCCGCTAAAAGATTCTGCACCACATTTATAGATACACATTTATATACTTTTTTGTTTGTTTGTTTGTTTGTTGTTCTTGTTGAATGTTGATGTGTCTGTCTGTTTTGTTGTCTTTAATAAAGGATAAAAAATATATATATTTTTGTCATTTTTGTTATCTATTTTCGATATCTATATTCTTTACGATATAGATATTGCACGCACCAATATCGCAATATTGATAATTTTTCAATATATCGTGCAGCCCTACTTTGACCAGACAGTATATGGATGGACATTGCTAACCTCCTAGCTCAATGAAGCTCAATGGGCTATATGCACGGGGAGGCGTGACGTCATTTCCTGTTAACAAAGCACAGCCCGTTCACTTCCTGCCTATGCTATCCTATGGCATTTAGGTGAGTTTTAGTGACGTTTTTTAATAATTAGATTGATACATTCAGCTTCGAGACTGACCCAAAAGTGTTGCTGTGCTTTCTCTCTGAGGTAGAGCTTTGACTGTGGCCACTCGATTTTTAAACTTTATAAAACACAATGACAGCACAATCAAAGAGCACTGCTGTGTCCCAAAAATGCCCAGTATCCTCACAGTTTAATTCCCGTTTGAGCATTATTTGGGAAACTCGTGTAAACCACTGCTGAACTCCAGTGAAACTCAAGCTGTTTCCCCGCGAACAGGAAGTGAAGTGGGGCTTTAGCTAAAACGCGGAAGTGGTGCGTGCATAGAGCCCATAGGGAAGTGCTGATGGACTTCTACTCGCTTATGGTGCTTCTACTCGATCTGGTTCCTATTGACTTACATGTAAAAGTGAGTTTGTGTCACGCTCACCATTTTGGGCTTTAAAATTGCTATGTTCCTGGTGACATAAGGATTAAACTTAGATTCCATGTGAGCAACACGTTAGTTTGCATCTGCCCCTGTTATTAATCCACTCCTAATATACGGTCAATGGGTACGAATTTACAAGCTTTGTATATCTCGAGACTGACAGTTTTGCCCATTCGTCTTTACAAAACAACTCTGCTTGGATGGAGAGCTTTGTGAACAGCCTTTCCACAGATTTTCATTTGGTTTTAGGTCTGGACTAAACATTTGCTTTATGTTTAGGCTACTTATTGTCTTGGAAGGTTAATCTCCATCACATCCTAGAGGGTTTTTCCACACATTTGTCCCTGTATTTTTCTCCATCCATTTTTTCATCCATTTTTACAATATTCCCAGTTGAAGAAAAGCAGGCTCACAGCATGATGCTTTAACACTGGGAAGGGTTCACTTTTAAACCACAATAAAATGACATCTTTAAGTTTGTGGTTGTAAACATGACAAATAGTGCAAGAGTTGGAGTTTATCAGTAAATTTAGCCTCTGTATGTGTTTGGTATGTAGCAAGCGCACCATCGAGGGAGAGCCAGTCGTGTTGGGAGGAGGGCAGCGCGGGCAGGTCTCGGGCTTTGTACTCAAACACCACAGAGGCTGAGATCATGTCGCCGCCCATGGCCACCTGCAGCATCACCAGACCAGTGTCGTGAGCTGAACACAAACAAACAAGAGTCAAAGCATCCAAACGTAACCTTGCGATCGCATGAAGCTGGTTCCAACACGGAAACACCTTGGGAGCTCGCATCAGACCTGGTGCTAATGGATACATTTCTACTTTTCAAAACTCATCCTTTAAAGCCTTTTGAACGACATTGTTTGTATGAATCTGGATGCACCCAGGGTTTCTTTTTTTAAATTTTTAAAATGTGAACCCAGAGTTTCTCACGTCAACAGCTCCTTAATGCTGACCTAACTTGGTGGCTCCGTGAAAGCGCCTTTAAGATAGAATGACACGTTGTTTATACTGTATGTTGTATTTTTTGTTACCGGGGCAGTAGCAGCGCAGCACTCCTGGTTGAATTAGAGCCGCTGGAACACTGATGTGATCAAAGAAACAGCTGTAATCTGAACTGGACTCCAACCACGGACCAGTGATCAGCACCTTCACTCCGCCCTAAAACACAGAGAAAATATCATAGTGAAAAACAACTATAGGACTACTGATACTACTAATACACAGGAGGAATATTGTAGAAACTAAAGCAGTAACAAAAGATTATTTTAATAATAGATTAGTTGAACGATTATTCGATTTGTTTTTTAGATTCCGAAGCTGAGTGAATAAGGGTTATTTTCTACATTTGATCAAAACAAAGCTCAAGTAATGCCCCCTGGTCTCTTGTTTTTCATTATGTTTTATCAGGCACTTTTATTTGGCATGTGTATGTATTGTGCTATACAAATAAACTCGCCTAGCCTATCACTATTAAGTGGAAAATTTGCAGCTTGAAGGTTGAATTCTTTGAGCTAAATAAGATCATCTCTTCATTGATAAAAATGACATCCATGCAGATATACGTATATTTGAATAATAATGGTTTATTAATGGCTGTGCAAATGAGGATATAGATTACACTGTCAGAACTAATGAGGGTTCAGTAAATGACTCATGGGCCATGGATAATTTAATTTGAAAAAAAAAAACAGGAGAATCATTGTTTTAGTGACATTTCATCAAATATAATCAGAACAAGACATTTTCCACTTATAGTATATATATCTTTTTTAACTTTTCTGTCTGAAATAGCTGGACTAACTGGATGTGAAAAAAGCTGACCAAGTGATATGGTTTTTATTACATTTTTTGAAAGTTAGGTGGCTCAGCTTTGAGTAAATTATAAATTGTGAGGTCAAAATTGTGTTGAGTGTTGCTGCATACCAACAAAATCTGGTCATGTCTTGTGGACCCAATCTCATCTTGTTAAAATTGGCTACAAATGCAAAGTCGCATGGCGCATGTCAGGGGAGTCAAACTGGTACCAGAAAGGCCTGAAAGTTGTCATTCCAACCAAGCAGGAGCACAACACGCTCTGCCCAATTCTTCAGGTCAAGACTAGACTCACTTGAGGAAATGGGTGGAGTCTGGTGTGCTCCTGTTTGGTTAGAATGAAAACCTGCAGCCACTCCGGCACTTTCTGGAACTAGTTTGACACCCTTGGCCTTAAGTGGACCAGACCTCACACTCACCTCTGGGTAGGACCACTCTGGCGAATAGTCTGTCACTCCGAACAGCCTCCCGCTCTCCTGCAGCAGCCCTAGCGAGGCCTGCTCCACTGCCGCCCCCTGCAGGTGAGTCTGAGCGCTGCTCTGCTCCTCCCCTGCCCCCGAGCCTTCCACCGAGATAAAGTCGTTGATCAAATCTGAAAACTGACTCCCAAACGACGCTTCGAAACCCTCTAAACTTATCCCAGCTCCTGACGCATTGGTGTTAGCCGTCACTCCCTGCTGCGGCATTGGCGAGCTGTACAAACTACTTTGAACGATGGACTGAGGGCTTTCGCCGACCGAACTCACGCCGTTGCATAAGATTTCGTTGTCCGCTGAACTCGCCGCGCTTTCCTCCACTCTCCCTGCGTTTTCCTCTTGCAAATAGTGCTCAACTTTAACCCCGCCTGTGTACGCATCGTCCGCTTTCAGCATCGCGTCTTCGCTACTGTCCACCGCTTTGTCGCTCACTTTTGTCGGCTCGAATGACGCAGAATTCCTTGCGCACATCGCTTGTTGCTGCGGGCTCGCGTGGCCGTCCACTCCATTCGCCGTCACGGGAGATGCGTTGGACAAACCAATGTAACTTTGAGGCTCTTCTTGGCTTGAATCTGTGTTTGAATTGTTTTGCAGAGCCTGGTTTGAAGGGAGGAAAAGGCTTGGCGCTTGCTGGGCTAAACTGGAGGACATGACCGCGCTGAAATCCATCTGCTCTAGTGTCGTGCTTGGGCTCAAACCGGTCGATTCGTAGCCGCTTTGGTTTGTCAGCGGTTGCTCTAAATTCGCCGCTTCCGTCTTGATGTTGTTCACCAGCGTGGCGTTGTAGAAGACGTTCGGGCAGTGGATTTCGTCACGGCTGCAGCCTTCGTTCTTGCCACCGCCGTACGTCTGGCCCTGCTTCGGGTTGTTGAGGAAGCAGTCCGGGTCGAAGGTCATGGTAGTCTCGGGAAGGCTGACCCCGCCGCTGGAGTCGAGCGAGCTGGACAGGACGAGCTCGCCGCCGTCACCCAGACTCCCGGAGAACGAAGAGAAGCGCTGGGAGTTCTCTGGAGTCACGGCCAATAGGATTCCAGTTGCCAAACCTGTGAAGAAACCAAGAGCGTCAAGCTGGTAAGTGATCTATTTTTATATATTTATATATTTTCACAGACAAAGGTCACAGAAAGCGCTTTAAAATTTTGGTGTACCAGTAATGTTTCCTGCCGTGGTGATGACACCCCTGAATCTGAGCTCTTTCTTCTGCACCTGTGGACTGTCTTTCCCCCGACCAGCGTGGGGGCCACCTTAGTCCTCGTTCTACAACCTGAGTCCTGCATCTACAGCCCGTCTGTCCGTGGGAATGGATCCCTCTCTCAATAAGGGCCTTCCTGAGGTTGTTTATTATTTACGAGTCATTCCTGGCTGATGCAGTCACACTGGCCTTGCTGCACCCATTTCCTCAAGTGAGTCTAGTTTTCGTCTAGGATTTTAAGCTGAAGAATTAAGTCTGGTGTGCTCATGCTTAGGTTGTGACTAAAATCTACAGCCACATCGGCCCCTTCTAGAACTGGTTTGACACCCCTTGTCTGGACAGTGATGATCCGAGACATTTAGGATATTTATTTTTAACGATTCTAATTTATAGACATTGGTCATCTACTACTGACTACTATATGTTATTATTGCATGTCCTGTGTTTGAACTGTTAGTACGGTTTGACTCTCTAATCTGTTATGGGTCAGTTTAGAACTATGTTAAGTGCTCTGAGCCGACTGGTGTGATTTAGGGATGTAGAAAAATGAATTGAATTGAATTGAGTTTGCAACGACTGTTATACATAGAACTGGAGGCAGCCTGTTCTCAGCGATAGTACCCCCGTGACTGGCTTTTACCTGTGGCCCCTCCCTGGTGCGCGTTACCCAGCAGCGGCGTGTGTCCGGTGGAGTAGACAGAGTCCCCGGTCAGCGTGGTCACCTCAGACATGAACACCGTGCTCTGGTTCAGCCCGGGGCCCATGGACAGAGCGGGGCTGTCAGCCATGTCTGAGCCCATGGACAGGGGAGAGCTCTGGGTGGTGTCTGGGACCTCCACCTGGGCTGTGTTGGTGGACGACGACACCTCCATGCTGCTCTGGGGGAGGAGTGAGGGTTTGGGTATGCGGCCATTCCTGCGATCCGACCCCCGCCTACTGCCCGAGCCGCCTGCAAACAACACAGTACTATTAATAATAATGATAATAATTAAAACATCGGTTTTATATAGCACGTTTTGGACACTCAAAGACGCTTCACATGTCATTATTCTTTCACTCCATACATGATTGTGATAAACTGCTAATGTAGCCACAGCTGCCCTGGGGCACACTGACAGGAGCCAGGCAACCAGTATGTGTCATTGGCGCCTCCGACCACCACCAACCATTCACACACACACCACACTCATTCTAAGCAATGTGGGTGAAGTGTTGCCTAAGGACACAATGACACTGTGGCACCTGGTGTTCCCAGAGGTCTCCCATCACAGTACTAACCAGGCCCTGTCCTGCTTAGCTGGCTTTCACATTCATGTGATATTTCAAACATGATTATGAAAATAAGAAAAGGTACCAGTCTGAACTGTGAAGACATCAATGTCTACACAGTTTGGACTGGTACCTTTTTGTTTTCTCTGAGGAGGGAGGCTGTGATTATATGTGTCGTTTGACTGATTGTGTATGTTTAAAGAGTCTAATATGAATAAAGCTCACAATATCTCAGCTATAATGTGTATCTGATTCTCCGTACACATTTGAAATAAATATAAACTCTTGAATTGAGTAGTTTTCAACTTTCTTTAAAATCCTGACAGTCAGACCCGAGTTGTGGATCACATTTTGACAGTTTAATAAATGATGATAAAGATGAGAGGCTTCTGTCGACAACAACACCAAAGACACTATGAATAGTTAATTTGCAAAAACAGATATGTGCCATTAGGAAAATATCTGAAAGACTTAAGATTTGCCCTTCACCAAGTTGTTTTTTTGAAAAGTCAAATCTATTTTACTGGCATGAAAACAAAGTTTCACCTCTATTTGAGGAAATTATTCCAAATTTACTGCCAACAAAACATGTTGAAGATTGTAGCCAAAAGAAAACAAAACCAAGATATTGGCTTTTTAAAATTGAACTCTTCAGTCTTGTTCCTTGGGGTGTTTTTTTTAATTTCAACGGATGATAGTAAAGGTCACGGGTGGGCAATATGCACCTCTTTAGCCTTGTTTTAATGGCTCCCTTTAGCACCAACAAATAGTAATGATTAAAAAGGTTATTTCAGCTGCATGCTAAACATGCAATCATGGGGACGCCTACAGATCAGCCCGTCAGCTCTGTCACCTGCTTGTTCAGCGGTTTTCTGTTATTTCTACAAAACAATATTGTTAGTGCCATATGAACCCATATTGGCTGATTCTGGCACATGTACAGAAATGTTCAGTAACATGCACTGTCCCTGTAATAAATAAAGAAACCAACTTGGACTCTAAGGAGCACAGGGACTGGCCTCCTGCTGGTGCCCAGAGTAAGGACTGAACATGAGGAGGCAGCAATGTATTAATTGTGTTTTATAGGTTTATGATGTGATGTGCAGGGTCTGTAGATTTATGGATTATAACAATTCTCAGGCGTCCATCTTTTTTGACCTCGAAGCTGGTATAGTGTGGTGGTTATAGTGTGGTGGTGATAATGTTTCGTACCGGTGCTGGCTTCCGTCTGGCCCTCGGACACATCGCTGTTCTGGACCTCACTTCCGTCCGCCTCGTCGCTCTTGTCCAAAGCTCCGGGCTCTTGCTTCGACGAGATGATCCTCTGCTTCACACTGGAACACTTCTGATGCAGACTGCTCCCTGCGCCTGATGAAAAATAGTACATACGAGTTTAATAAAGGAAAAATTGAAAATAAAAACAAAAAAGACAATGAATTATTTTGGTGGTTGAATTCAGATTTGTTAAATTGGCAAATATAATGTAAAACAGTCAAACATGGATGCAGCTGCAGGACCTAACTTTCAAATCACAAAAATGACTGTAAATAATGTAATAAAGATCAGCTTTTCAGACAGAAAAGTGAAAATGAGACGACCGCCCTCACTCAGCCAAGCTCTCAGCTCAAAGCCTTAAATAGTGACTCACAGGGATCTTTCTTACACAAAAGATAACATATTTTCTAATAAAACAGCGTGATTTGACTCTTTCTGTCAGGGCAAACAACATGGACAATTAATTTCTTTAACCCAGCTTTAACAAGAGATTCACACATGCTTACAATAAAGTATGCAGCTGTATCTAAGTAATCTCTTCTTATTAGTGCCTTTTGAGTAAGTCCTGGTGATGTAACATTGTTCAAAGAGTCCTGGTCGAGTCCTAGTTAACACTGGTTTATTGGATTAGGCAGGTTTAGTCATCATTTCGTCTTCAAAGTGCAGATAAAAGGCTGTTTGATTTCCTTGTGGTCTAAAATAGAGGTTGTGATTCCACTAAACGGCCTGTAGGGGGCAGCACGGCGTAGGGAAAGTGCTCTCCAGTGAACACGAGGCTCAGATGTGTTCAAGGTCACACAATTAACACAAATATGTTCTTCCACCGCAGTCTTTCAGCTTTCAGCGAGTCAGCACTCAAAGGAGACGCTATGTGATCTCTTTATGCAGGCACAGGTTAGACCTGGTTTAGACCTGGTAAGACCTGGTTTATTATTGGTTTCGGCCTGGTTTTGTCCTGTGGTTGACCTGGTTTAGTCCATGTTTAGTCCTGGTTTAGTGGTGGTTTAGTCCTGGCTTAGTCCTGGTTTAGTCCTGGTTTAGTCCTGGTTCACTCTTGGTTTTGGTTCACATTCGTACATCGGCTTCAGTTAGACCTGGTTCAGTCTGGTGTAGGACCTGGTCCAGACCTGGTCCAGATCTGATCCAGTCCTGATCCCGTCCTGGTCCAGCCCTGTCTTAGACCTGGTCCTGGTCCACACTCACACATGGGCTTCAGCTGTCCGATCAGCTCCTCCTTGCTCCACTTTGCCCACTCTTTCCGGTCCGTGTTGATGGAGCAGAGAACTGGACCACAAGGTTTCCCGCTGTCGTCCACTGCCGGGACATTCAGGTAGTGCACCAGGACGATGTCAGGATTCTGGAAGCAAAACAAACACCTTAAACAAATGAATATATAAAAATAGACCAAATTGCGAGATCAATAGAATTTAAGAGCTTTATCTGCTTTCCTCCAAAATACAATCTCAAGACTAAATGGCATCTGAAAAGCAAGCAACTATTTATGGGAAATAACAAGGAGCATTTGAATGTTGTAGATAAAACTAGAAAACTACTCGTAGAGTTCAAACCCTCCGCCAAGAGGCACAGTATAATTCCTTAAGCTATACACTCTAAAAACAAATTGGTCAACAGTTGTTTGATTGTTTTAAGACTCTAGTTGGTAGTTATGTGTTCAACCCAACTGCCCAGCACCCTCCTCCTGGTTTGTGTCTCAGTTGGGGAACTTCCTGTTCCATTTATTCATTTTTGCTACGTAGGACACGAGAACGTGAATGAACCGCAAAGAGGTCCAGAAGACAGCAGCATTGTTTAAGCAAAAACACAGGACAAGTACAAAACAGGAACAGATCGCAGGAAGACATGAACCAGGAAGTGGATGGAACTCTTTGGATGAGCAAGAGCCTAGAATTCTGATCAAAATATTGGTCATTATGATCTACCACCAACCATTCACGCACAAACCAGACTTCGGCACTGCGGTTGAAATGACCTGCCTAAGGACACAACACCTTGCAGCTGCCCTACTGTGGCATCTCAAAGGTCTCCCATCGCAGTTCTAACTGCACTGATTAGCTTGTGAGGTCAAGATCAGGCTTTCACCTGTAGAGGGCGACACAAAAGACATATATACAACTTGTTGAATGTGCAGGTAGTGGTACTATGGTTGTGTTTTCAACCACTGTAGTTTGGTGTAGCACCAACCGACACACACTGGTCAATCCAACCAACAGTAAGCAATAAGGTGTAGTTTTTCCAACCAAACTGTTTTTAAAGCACAAATCTGTGCTTTGCTTAATCAGCAGCTCTCAAACTTTTTCTCGTATGGCTTTGTTTTGCTTTTCCTTGAACACATGCAGAGTTTAAGGAAAATGCAATAAAATAAGGATTTCTCTCGTGAATATATGCATCAAAACTACCATTTCACATGGATGCAGATACAGCAGATCTTCTCCTTTCGGCTGTTGTCCGATGACCTCTAGAACCTAATGGTATGTCTAATGGGAGAGTTGCAGTGTCAGATCACATTCTCCTCTGGTTTAATAAAAGAAAAACTTTAATTTACAAACAAACAAGTCTATTATCTCCTATAAGTTCTTTCCCATATTCTTATTAAAGTCTTATTTCACATCACATACTAAATAATGAAAGAATGTATTTTATAATAGTCTTTCTTACATACAGTATATGCCCAGTCCTTCATAAGCCTAATACGGACTTATGCATTATTTGCACCATTTTATATATAGACATGATGGAAACCTTCAATTTATTATTTAATGTTTTATAACTTGAAATAATGTGTGTAAGATGTGCGTCCTCTGTACATTACAACTATTTCTCAAGTCAAGACAAAAATTACCATATAATGATAGCTAATAGACAAGTATTTAAAGCTGGAGTACTTAGCTTATAACAATGCCTATTTTGGTAATTAAAAAAATATATACTGTTTGTCCAAACAGAAAGAGTATTTTAAAAGGACACAAATTCATCTAATAAGAAAACATACTTTTTTGCATACTTAAAGGTACAGGAGTATTTAATGAAAGAACCGCCCTCTCCACTTTTTGAACAAAACTCTCCGGCCTTATTTGAAGAGCACGTATCAGAATGATTGACCATTGGGAGGACCACCCGGAAGAAGAAAATCCTTCTATATACTTTTAAGGAAAAGTATATGACAATATAAATAGCCCTGAGAGGCACTCTTTGACACTTTGGGTTGAGAACTGATTGGCTGAGTGAGGGTGGTCCTCTCTTGTTCACTTTTCTGTCTGAAAAAGCTGATCAAAAGATCTGACAGAGGCCAAAAATATATGCATGTGAAAACTATATAGACTGTTTTGAGAGCAAGGAACAAGTTGTATGAGCATGTATTTTATTAAAATATATGGTTACATGTTTTAAAGTTTTGTAACCCGGGTTGAAGTCCTGGCAATATTTTTCTGAAATAAATACTCTGTAATCTAATCACCATAATCTATTTGTATTAGAAACCATACTACATTTTTCTTAAAAATAACAGTTTTTCATATCACCTATTTTGTCATTTGGAATAAAAGTGGTCAGAAAGCAGTGGGTGGAGAGTCGGTCAGGGAACAGGTCAGACTTGTCGTGTCAAATTCACTTCAAATTCATTAAACATTTAACAACACACTGCACTCATCACTTTTGCTCCATATCTCCCCTTTCACTCTCTGAAGCCAGACTAAAATAGGACTACAGGGATGGGACCAAGACCAATATACTGAGATACTGAAGAGGCACGAAAAGAAAAACATTAGAACTGTCAAAAGTATCAAAAATCAGATATAATAAATAACACTAACTAAATGAAACCAGGGCTGGGTCTCTTTCAGAGCTCATTGATACAATGCAAATCTCAATACAGGGGACTTTAAATTTTATATTTTTCTAAATAATACGATACGGTTCAGTAAAAAAGGCTTTTGACCCTTTTCCGACACTGTGCCTTATTTAAAAATATATATATATCATGCTTTGTTTCTGACCATTCAAATCATAAAAACACTATTTACCTTGTCATGTCATGTAATAATATCTTAAAATTATGTTATATTATTGGAGAAACACTCGCACAATCCTAATTAAAACTATATATTTGAGCAACACTAAAGATAATTAAATCAAAGGCAGAACATTATGTAATATTCTGCCGGAACACGTACAGTAAAGGACCAAACTCAAACACAATACTTCACAAAATCGACCAATTGAACCATCTGAAAGTGGGACTTTTCCGACATTCTTGTTTCTATGCACTGTCTGAATCCAAACTAAACTTAATAAACAGGATACAGATAGTTTAGGTGATGTACCATAAAAGTGCTATTATTTTGCCCTTGTAAAGCACTATACAGACTTGTCAAAGTCTCACAGATACTTTGTAAAATCAAAATACTAATATCACATCATGTTGTCCAAAGAAACCATTACAGTGTCAACATTGGTATTGAGTTTTTCTTAAATTCTTGAATATGCCTATAGAGTTTGGGAGTTTAATATTGTGACAGTAGCATGAATACTGTGAACATCTACTTTTGGACGATATTAACAGCTCCATAGTTTCAGTGAGTTGGTGGAGAAAGCAGCCCTCAGGCGGGAGTTCAGATACAGTCAGGAGGTCTTTCAATCCATTTCTGCTTGTCCTGTAGTATAGATGAATTCACTTATGCCCACAATTTTGTGTGTTCTACAAATATCTGAGTAGCAACACCAGCACATTTGTTAAGCCTATAGCAAAATGTGCAACTCCACAAATTACCGATCCTTTCTAGTGTTTTTGGTCCTGGTTATTCCATTCCAACCAAGAGTAAACTTAAACCAGAACTAGCAACAGATGTAGTGACTATGTTTCCAGGTCTTCAGGACAGAATGATTAGAAGTTTAGACTGTATTTCATAAATGGACAGTTCTAACCCGCCACTCTGAAGTCTATTAAATTGCTTTAGCTCAATTTACAACATAGAAAAGTTCAAGGTGATCCTGGTGTTTTTGGCTTCAAGTAGCGCAAAGCAGGGACACACCAGCACGGCTTCTGATTGGTTATTTGGTTGCTAGGTTGATGTCATCTCATACTGTAGTTAGTTTCATGTTTGCTGCCCATGAAGCCTGTTTATTTGTTAGCACTAATAGGCTTCGGCCAGTAAGCAAAACAAAGCTAGCTTGTGTTAGCTTCAGCTATTTTGCGTTTATTGCACGTAAAAACTAGCGTCAACAACTTACACAAGTTTACACAAGTCTTTTACACAAGTCTTTTAGTGATAGACTGAGAAAGACTTCAACAATATAACATTGACATTGACTAAATCAACAGTATCAAGAAAACGTCAACACAATGGCCCCTAGCTCTAGAAAACTCAGACGTGAAGTTGTATTTTGTTGTTTGGTGATAGAACAGCAGGGGAGGGCGGGGCTTACCTGCAGCAGCCAATAGCATCTGCGGTGGAAGGTGGGGATGATGGAGGAGTGGACGTAGCAGCCATACAGACACTGGAGAGAGGAGAGGCCACAGGTTAGTCACGGGACACAGGGGGGCACGGGGAGGAAGGGGCAGAGAGGGGAGAGGTTTCACAACAGGAAAGACGAAGGGTTTTTGCTCGAAATGTGTGATACGCAGATTTATCCGCGCTGTACCGGAGTTCAGCTCGGGTTTCATCCATCCAACTTTATCTGCTACTTATTACTTTACCGCATCTACAGTATTTACATGCATTTCTGGTCCACTAGCACAACTGTAGATCACAAGTTAAAATCTCAATTAACAAGAAAGACTAGACAATTCCCCTCCCATGGTGCACAACTGTTTCCTGCTTCACCAATTGAAGTTCCTGCTGACTTTTACATTGTAAGCCCTGATGAGGTCGAAACATGTTTACTCATGTTTTCACAAGATAGATCCTGTTTTTTCCAAGGGTTGATTGATTAGATATAGATACATAAGACCTATTTTCTAGGAAGTATCAACCAGACCCGGCCACGGTGGCACTGTTAGGACCTCCGTCTGCATGGTCTGGGAGTGTCCAGGTGTTACTCAGTTTTTGGACATTGTGGCTGGTGCTCTGTCTGCTCTCCTGCCCTACCTTGTCCATTGCTCTCCCTTGGTCCCCTGCTCTGTTGGATTGGATTGAACAATTTAATGTTATCTATTTTTGTATAGCCCTAAATCAAAACAGTATTTATCTTAGAGGACTTAATAAAACCATTGAATTTGCCAGCACAGATCAGAGAATGAGTTCAAACTCAAGAAATGCAATGATAAAAAACACATAGAAGCATTGGGCCATAAGGGGCAGATGACCAATGTCCATAAATGTTAATAAAGTCCGTAAATGTCGTTGAATGTCATGTGTCCTGGATCATCACCACAAACCTCCAGCAAGGGTCCAAGGACAGTGAACAAACCCAATGTGGAAGCCCCCTCGATCACGGTCTGGCCAACAGCATGACATTTATTGACGTTGCCTATTCGGAGCTCTCCATTGCCCACACACAGTTTTCAGGAGAGTAAAACTGTATGTGGAACAGTACAGTGAACAAACATGAGTCAACCAAGTCTGTGTGTTGTATATAAAAGAAATATCTACAGTGGATAAATGACAGGAGACACAAAGACGAGACGTTTAAGAACACTTAAACGTCAACACGGTACTCTTGTAAACAGCTTGTCACATCTTGTTGTTTAGATACAAACTCTGTCTCTTTCCCCATCCCTGTTCCCCAGTTTCCCTTTGGAAGCTTCTCTCTCTCTTCCCTCTTTTTCTAAATTCTGTTTTGCCAGGGGCTGAGTGAATCTCCATACATTTACATTTGATATGAGCCTCTCTCCATTTCTTTCCTTTTTCCTGTCTGCAATTCTGTCTTCCGTCACCCATCCCTCGCCCCAGTGCAAGTTTTAGGTATAAGCAAAAGAAACCAGGAAAAAGCAAAAAGTGAAGGAAGGAAAAGTTGAATTTGATTTTTGAATTATACAACAGTGCAGGATTTTAACCAGAACTAAATCCAGGACTTTTTCAGTCAGTCAGCCAGTTCAGTTTTAGTTTTAGTTCATATAGACTACCATGACATGTTAGACATAATTTCAAAGTTAATGCTATCAAGAAAACATGTTTTAATATATTCAAATCCCGCACAACAATTAGGCATAATTAAATTGAAAAATAGTCTTCCTAACGTTTGTTCAAGCTTTGGTTCAATCCAAAATGGGGCTATAAATAATGATTATTCTGATAATCTCAAGTAATGGCCTGGAGAAAGGCTTCATAAAGATGACTTGTTACACATTAGGTTTGATTAACAATAGTTTGTAAACACATTTTTATTTAATTCTATTTGCAGTTATTATAGAATTATCAGAGTGATAAAATCTCTTGTCACAGTCTATGTGAGGTTGCTACATTGTTACAGCCCTGATCCAAACATTACCCAGAAAAGTAGTAGTAGTTCTTTGGTCAAAATCCCTCCATAATGAAACAAATTAATCTAGAATAATACCACAGGCGCAAATTATATGAGCAGCTTTAACATTGATATATAAGTAGTAAGTTGAAAAATATTTTAAAAGAACCACAAGTTGCCTTCTGATCTGTTTGCACTTGGTTTTGGTGTTAGCCCTCTATCTATCAGTGAACACCAAGAAAAAAAACACTACTACCGTAAGCTCTATACAACTATTATGACGGGAATTCCATCAGAAATCACCATAAGAGCAGGAAAAATCACTGCTTCAGTTCATTACAAATACTGCCAAGTGAGGAAACAGTGCATTCAGCTACCACAGGGCTGTCCTCTATAGACTTGATAAATATTGTAGGCATTTATATGAGCTAGATACGTCATTATTGAGCTTCAAAGATTACTTGCTGAGCCTTCTGCTGACTGTTGCTAAAGCCCAGTTCACATCAGCGTCTCAGGTTTAAACTCTGTAGGGACGTTTCAAAGTCCACTGTCTGTGCAGCCAGTGGTTTTTCCCATGGAGTCATCACCCAGACTACAACACTACAACGCTGAATAGTGGGAGTCAAGAGAGCGGTGCCATTGACCCAGTCTCTTCAGCGCGGGCCATGTTACAGCGGACAGTGCTAACACGCTAGCTTGCTGAAGCATAATAGAGAAGAGTTCATTAAATAAATTATACCACGCTCTACACCATCCTGCTGCTTTAATTTTGATATTGTCTTTGTAAATCCAGATGAAACCCCTAAATACAAACCAATCAGGTGTCTATCTATCTGCAAATTTAGCTTCGGTACAACTAGCAGACAGGAACAGCAGGAACGGACTAGCTCTTTGGTTGCTATGGGGCTGTTAGCTGTTAGCTTAGGCTCGGATATAATTATTATTATATTATCATTATTATCCCACTGCATTTTGAATTGTGGTATACAAATAAAGATGTAAAAAGATAAAGATTAAGATAATAATAATTATTTGTATTATTATTACTTGCAGTCTATACTGTGCAGAAACAAGTGTCTAGTGTCCAGTGCTGTGTCAGTGTGTTTTTATCGGCCCGTAACATATGAGGCTCCATACTAATGTATACACCTTTTAAAAGTCATAGAGAAATCAGTATTATTGTTATGTTGGCTGAAACCCAGGCTCGACATTGGATTTATCAAGTCTTTTTGTTAGTGTTAAAATTTCGGCAACCCAACCTACTCCCACTGATAGCACTTGCACACTTAGATGACACACACACACACACACACACACACACACACACACACACACCAATCGATGGTCCTCTCTGCACACTTGGAGGAGCACTGACATCATCTCTGGCTCACGGCCAAACTCTCCATCAGAATAACTACTATAGCTGCTATACCTCTAATGAGAGCAGCACAACCTAAACAAAAAGTAAAAAACTAGGGACGTAAAAAAATACATACATACAGTATCTTCTTTGTAATGTTGAAATCCTTCTTAATCATTATTTCAGTCTTCTGTCAACATGAATTGTCTTTGTAGCGAAAGGAAATGCAAGAGATGTATCAATACTTAGGCAATGATCACAGTGATCATGATACTGATAACAGCAACTCTCGCTTTTAGACGCTTCAAGACTCCTCTACCATTAAATACTTTAGATGTTCTTTCCTGGCATTGAAAGAAGCGTAAGTCATGTCTTTAAAGACACACTGTCATGAGCTATAGCCAGATTTTCACTTCAGAACTGAAAAAAGAAGAATCAGGGCTACTGCTATCCCAGCAGTATCAGAGAATCAGTAGAGATAGCAGTAGCAGCAGTAGCAGTACAAGTATCAGTAGAAGTAGCAGTAGTAGCAGCAGCAGTAACAGTACTAGTAGCAGGAAACATTGCAGTAGCAGTAGTAGCAGTACCTGGACCTGTATCATTAGAAGAAGTAGTAGCAGTACATGTATCAGTAGAAGTAGCAGTAGTCGCAGCAGTACCAGTACTAGTAGTAGGAACAATAGCAGTAGCAGTAGTAGCAGTACCTGTACCTGTATCAGTAGAGGTAGTAGTAGCAGTACATGTATCAGTAGAAGTAGCAGTAGTAGCAGCAGCAGTACCAGTATTAGTAATAGGAACAATAGCAGTAGCAGTATTAGCAGTACCTGTATCAATAGAAGTACCAGCAGAAGTAGTAGCAGTAGTAGCAGCAGTAGCGGCACCAGTATTAGTAGTAGAAACAATAGCAGTACCAACATTAATAGCAGCAGCCGGAGCAGTAGTAGTAGTAGTAGTAGCAGCAGTAGCAGTAGCAATAGCAGTCGCAGTAGCAGTCGCAGTAGCAGTAGCAGTAGAGCACCAGCAGCAGGAGTACTCCTCTCTCACCTCGACCCCCTGCACTTTGAGCTTCATATGGTCTTCTCTGGTGGTCTTCCCGTCTTTCCGTTTCTTCCAGCAGTATCCATCTTTACGATACTTCACTTTCTTTCGGTTGTACAGGATCATGGAGCCATTCTGAGGCCTGCCACACAAATAACATTCAAAACATTATGACGTGTATGCTATAGAATGGCTATGGAATATAATTGTTTAGGACAGTGTTTTTTCCAGGCATTCTGTAATTTGTTAAAAGCATCTGCTATATCTTTCTAAAAACTTGACAAAACCAGTAAACGAGAAAAATAGGAAACAATTTTCTTGTATTTGGAAGACGAGTTGTACACCAGTTTAGATTTGTTAGAGGGCCTGGTTTGAATAGGATAGTACACTAGCTTATTTATATAGCACATGTAGACATGGCAATCTAAACTGCTTATCTAAACAAAGGAAACATAAAAAACAAACTACACACAGATAAAACAATCAGTATTATTATAAATGAGGGAAGAGCGCAGAAAAATAAAATAAAACATCTGACAGTACAAACAACAGTACAAACAGATAAACAGGGAACATTTTGAAGATTTTAAGACATCCTGGAGAAGGTTACAAATGGACTTACTTAGTCCAGCTGTTACAAATGCATCAGAACAACTAAACCCTCGGCTCTCCAAGCATGGTGTCCTGTACTTTCAAAGTGCCCAAAGTGCTCTCAAACTTACAACCCCCTACGCTCCCAGCTGGTACACCACAAAGATAAGATATCGATGGCAGGAAAACAGGAGTAGTTTATGCTTTGGGAGGGTTGTCACACTGTGTATATTGTTGATACAGCTCAACCATTTGAGCTGTACAGGGCGGCACGGTGGCTGAGTGGATAGCACTCTCGCCTCTCAGCAAGAAGGTCCTGGGTTCGAATCCCGGTCGGACCAGGGCCTTTCTGAGTGGAGTTTGCATGTTCTCCCCGTGTCTGCGTAGGTTTCCTCCGGGTACTCCGGTTTCCCCTACCACTAAAAATATGTCCAATAGTTCTAGCATGCGCCTCCTATACTGGCGACCCCGCTCCCATCTCTGTGTGGAGTGAGAGACAAAATGCCCAAAAATTAACAATTGTAAACCGCTTTGAGACTCAGATCTGCAGTGAAAAGGCGGTATATAAATAAAAACTTACTTACTTACTTACTTACTTGAGAAACCAATACCCCACGCCGTAATACATGAGACTGCTGTGTACCTGTCCAAAGAGGGAACCGGACAAACTTTTGACAGGACTCGTTCTTGTTGGATCAAGAGTCTCGTTGGTTTTGCAGAGGCATGAAGGAGATGTGTATGAATTATTGATTATTGCGGCCAAATGGCAAGATGGCAACAAAATAATTTTTGTATTAGGAAACTAAGTGTGTTTGTTATATTACTGTCATGTGTTTTGTTGTAGGGTATTGATTCTAGTTTTTGTATTCTATTGTAGTATGCGTCTGAATGGCTGGGAGAGGATTGGATCAAAATAAGCGTTTTGCTTATAAAAGAAACAAGCCCCATTTCAATTAGCCCTACTTGGCCCAACTCGACTCTACTCGGCTCTACTCTACCCGGGCTGGGACCAATTCCACCGGCCCTCTTAAACTGGTACAAGGGACTACCCTTGTACTAGTTTAAGAGGGCCTGGTTATATTCAGGCCGAGCTGGTACTAATGTGTTCTAAGAGATTGGCCAGAATATTTCTCCGGTTACTGATTTGTTGTGTGTAGATAGGGGGATATGGTACCAGATACAAAAGCAAGGTGAAAACGCAACCAGGTAGAGTAGGGCCATGTAGGGCTGGTGCTTATGAGAGTGGCCCTGAACAGACAGGGGAGACTTCCCTTCCAGCCCTCTCAAACCTGGGACGTTCACAGATTGTGTTGTTTTAAAAATTGCCATATGATCCATTTTCCTGCTCTGCTCTGACCCTGAGTCTCTGTTGTCCCGTGTTCAAATGGCTTCGGTCTTTGTTTGGCGTCCAGATGTATAAAGCTGTTTTGTCGCACAAGAGGGCTTTAACAATAATGAGCCTTTTTCTCGAATGAATTGAAAACAGTGGGAGTACTTTCACCTCGTCTCAGTTCTTAGCTCTACGGTTCTTAGCAACAGTCCACTCAGCAGGAAGGGGGTAGAATAATATCACTACAATTCAATTTATATGAATGGAATGCGATGTAACATTTAATACTATTGTCAATGCTTCTTCATGAAATGCTTAGAACTATGAATCTGTGGTTAGTCTGCAGTTATAATCCTGAGGAACTTGTCTTTGGCATTCCATACTTTAAAAGGTGAAATATGTGAAGAAAGAATATAGGGTGACAGATAAACCTTGAGAATAACAGCCCACAATGCAAGCCATTTTAAACATGTTAAAGCAATATGGAAATCTGCACAAAAAGAGGAAAAAGACAGAAAGAAAAGACCATGTCAAAATGTCGACCATGCCGGCACCCTGCACTCTCGCCATAGACAATTCCACAAAGGTCATCAGTCACTGACAGCAGGACAGTGAGAGTGGGGTCTTCCATCTTGTGGCAATCATCCTTTTGGTGGCGTAAGCTCAGCCAAGATATATACTTTTCTCATATCAACATGACTTGTCCCTGCGCTCTTAAATGCATCTGCTGGCCTTGTCTCCAGTGAACGTGGTTATATCAATGATTCGCTCCAGTTACGCCAAACTGACTACGCTCTCCCACCACAATCACAACGCACATGTTTACATGCGTCTTGCTGAATCCAATTAAGTGAGTGATTCAGTTTTCACTAATGCTTTGCTAGTGTAAACGGGTGACTGAGGAAAAAGCCCTTTGAGCCTTATAAGAGTAGAAGTAGTGTGAATATCAACAATGTCTCTGCAAACACAATATTGTTGAAACTCCGCGCAGTTGTCAAAGTCAAAGACATTACATCACATGGGCTCATTCATAAACAGAACATTGCTCCATAGTGTTTTCATGACGTCAGCAGCCACAGCACGCCGCACACACTTCCCCTCCGCTCTCTCTCTCTCTCTGCTTCTCTATATCGTTAATAATTCAGGGGGTGATTTATGACGGACCTCCAGCTCGATGGGTCTCACACACACATACACACACACACACACCAGCCCAGGCACGGAGCTCTCCTGTCGGGGAAACAAAGCACGATCAGCCCTGGAGAGACCCACCACCGCGCCAACTCACGGCTCAATGTCAAACCTGCTGTTCGCCGATCAATCCGAGAGCAGAGGAGGGGGAGGGGAAGAACACATCCCTTTGAAACCAGAGGAGAGCCTCATATGGGGCTGGCTCTTAATAACAGCACTAGACTAAAATCATGAGAGCATAATTCATGTTTAGAAGAGTCTTGAACTCATTGTAACAAGCAGCTATAAGCGGTTTAGAAATAGGTTCCTTTTTAGCATCAAATTATGAGGAAAAATGCTGAGTTCCAGGTATTTTCAAGGGGACATCGACCTTTCTCAGCTTTTGCCGACGTTTCTGCAGTTTTCCCATGTCATTTGCACACTGGTTGTTGTTTTTAGACCATGGCCAGTGTTTTACATTTTATTTGCCATATTTTTGTCAAACACTGATTCATGATCCTACAGCCGTTTGGTCAAAGGTGAAAAGAGAGAAGAGATTATTGCAATCCCCATACTGCTGTGTGCGCTCGCATCATAATGTACTGCACGAAGGCCTGGAAACTCTGGTTGAAACTTTTGCTTGGAATTGGAAACAATCACAGAATGGGGAGAGACAGCAATGTCATGTCAGGTAATTGTTTTTAACTCGCATTGTACAAACATTAGGGCCTGGACTTTAATTAATTAAATGCATTTGAACGCATTTTGCGCCACAGACCTGTCTCATGGAAAAAAGTTTTGCCAGACCGATAGTGCTTCGGACAACAACAAGCCACAGTGAACATGAAGGATTTTGCTGACCGCATTAGCCCCATGAATGGGAAATGTTGTTATAAAACCGAATCAAAGCGTAGACAAGAGCTGGGTTGTGGTTGCATATCAGCGCAGTAGATCCAGTAACAACTCAATGGACGTTAGCCTGAGTAAAAAGACCCACACCCAAGTTCACTTACATTGACTTAGAAGTAAGTCAATGTAAGTGAACTAAATTGCGAAGTGCATGATTGCATGCATATGATTATATAAAATGATTGCACATCTTTGCAATATCATCATGGAACTTGCTAATATCACAATGATTTTTTTGATATATTGTGCTGTGCTATGTAAAACCCTCTGACCGACCATTGCTCCTGACAGTTGCCCAAGTGGCATTTAAATGTCCTTAAATGTCCCGGATCGTCAGTGTCCTTAGACCCTCCTGCATCAGCAAGGAACTACTTAACAAAAAAAATAGTGAGAGAAAGTGAGAAATTCCAGGGAGCCCAATATTGAGAGAAGGATCCGCCCCCACTGTTGAACAGGCTGTAGATCCAGGACTGTGCGATGCAGGATACTCCCAGGCAGGGAAGGGGGTGCAACCCACGAGTCCCCACGAGTCTACCTTACGTTACTCGAAATGTTCAATCAAGTAATTTATAAATAATACCATATCTAAGTAAATTTCCCTACCCCACTTGGTTCAACAGTAAAAATCCAGTCAAATCAATGGCTTTTTGTAGAGCTCAAAATCACAACAATCCTCAAGGACTTGAGAGGAAGTAGAAAATCAAACAACAAAGACAGCACTGTCTATGACATACTCAATGCTGAGTGTTTTGGAATGGGCGGCAAATTTGGGCTGAAGATCACTGATGTTCGTGTTAATAAAAAATATTATTTTTGATGAGGAAACACATTTGGACGATGATAAAACTCTCACTTCACAACGCATAGCATTTCAAACAATATAAAAGCTGGGGAACCTGATTCTCATCTTCTCATCTCCAACTGATATTCCTTCTTCTTCCTCTCAAAAATAGTTCCTCCAGCTCTCACAAACCATTTGGTGCCTGTAGTATTCCCTTCTGGTCAGTAGCTTTAGAACAGCTTTATCAAATGGAAAAGTGAAGCGGCGAGGATCAGTCTAGCTCCGCCAATAAGCTCTCCTTCCATTGCCTTTTTTGTACCATACAGAAGGACTTTCTAATTAGATGAAGACAAAAGGGATC